GACCGGTCTTTTTTCGTGGGGACCGATGGATTTTTGGTGGATTTCGGGGTGTGTTCTGGAGGGTTCGCGGGTGGAATTTGGGGTCGAAAGGAAGGGATCTGAAGCTTGGCGCTTGGCTGGTCGGAAACGAGGAAGGGACCCTGGCAGAGTAGTTGTATATACAGTAAGTATCCCACATGAATCCCACATTGAGGGTCTTTTCAGGAGACACTTCCGCGTGGCCACATAGGCACTGTTCTCATTTGTAATTTTCAGATGCATGAATCCAATCCAATCCTGGTCTGTTCGTCTTACGCTTTAACACACAGACTTACCTTTGCTCCAAACCCTCTTGGATGCTGCCACAACATTTCTGCTTGGAGGCCTCCTCATAGTGGTGCCCTTGGCCTTGGCTGCCAAGTTTGCACCTCAATTGGCTGGCTTTGTGTTTCCATTCAAATGAGAAACAACGTGGTTTCAGCCTTCATGCGCCTTACAGTCCTTTCGGTAGCTGGAATCAAGAGCGAGAAAAGTAAGGAGAAGAAAGGGAGACAAGAGGACCTATGCAAGTCGTACCAGATCATAGCTCCAATTCAAGCTTGTTTGACTGCTATACCTGCCCGCAGGTTCATGGCGCCAAGCTTGGGCCCTAGTGCTCCAGTGCTTTTTAAGCATTGATCAGTTCTTCGTTTGGGTGCAGCTCAAGAGTAACGCTCGTTTCAGGGTAGATGAGAGTATTTGGGTGGGTTAAACCTAGCCGCAGCTGAAAAACTAGGAGAACTAAAGTACACAGCAGAAGAGCTCAAGGCACAGCAGGAGTTGGACCAATTGCCAGTCCTCCCAAAATGAAGCACTCTCAGCGCACTCAGGCGTGACCAGCGGTGCGCTGCCGAGCCACCAGGTGCCATGAGCGAGCGCGATTGGTGTGTGGTGGGAAGCACCAGGAGCGGTTGAAGTGATGAAGGCAGTACTTGTTGTTTCCAACAGCATCAAAGAGCTTCCTTGGTTGGTTGGGACCTGCGGGTTTGGAACTTTTTTGGGAACAGGTGCTGCTTCAACCATATTGATATCTAACCATTCATTACAGACGATGTCATCCATCCTCCTTTGTGAACTCTGTTTCCACCATTTAGCGCGCCCCCGGAGGCGCTGGCGGCGCTGCTCAGCGACAAGGGGAAGCCGTTGGACCCCATGGTGTCTGGAGCTCCCAGCGGTGACCTGACTCGTCACTGGTGTCTGAAACGAGACGAGACACAGGTGACTGGAAGAGTGTCGGATGATGCAGACTGTATGATATTGAGTGTTTTGTGTTTTCGGGTGCGGACAAAACAACTGCTTTCAAGTTGCAGAGTTAAAGCCCATCGCAGGCTGGTCGTGAGTGTTTCGTTCCAAAAAGGGTCGCAGGCGGGGCATTGTGGTCTCGCTCCCCTAGAAATGGAAGTGGAAGGATGGCCTGAAAGACCATCAAACAGGTGGATTGCACTCCACGTCCGTTTTGATGATTTTCAGAGAGTATACTTCCAGGCCTCCAGCTCTAGGGAGTGATGTTCCTGGCATATCCCTTCTTTTCGAATGCCCCGAACCGCTCCCCCCCCACCGCTGCTCGTGCCACCGCTGCAGGTCCTCCTTAGCCGCCATGGCGGAGTCCCTGTCCAAGCAGGAGCGACTCGTTTTTCACGATCCGGGACCCCACGCCGGGACCCCACGAAAAGCGACCCCGGGTGAAAGCGTGACCGGTGGAGGTAGGAGGTAGGAGGGTTTTGGATTCAGTAGAGGGGAAGGAGCAATGTGGTTTCTTGGAGGTCTGCTGAGGCCTCTCGAGGCCTCTTGATGTTTGCAGGACCCTGCAGCTCGTGAGAGCTCCGTGAATTCCATCAAGACCTTGTTGCAAGGGCTTCTGGACAGTATCACCAGCAGCTTGACATAGAGCTTCAGAGTTCTTGCACGGAGAGAAGGCCTTTGTTTCTGAGTGTGATTGGGTCTAGTTGTTGGGACAACCATGAAAAAGACCATTCACCAGTGCGAACGATCCGATACTGGTGGCGGACCTAGGAGCTCCGGCGAGTGAGGTGTTCAAACCTTTTGCACTCCCACAGTTATTCAGTTTAAACATGTTTTAACACCCACCCAAGTGATGAATGGTACTTGTAGCGGTTTGATGTCCACATTGGCACCACCGCGACGGTGTTTTTCGACATGACGTAGGCACAGGACCGGTCAAACGCGAACCACGTCTGTTGGCGGCAGGGCCGGCGCAAGACTCAGGTCAGCACACCATTGCTCAGACCTGAACTCAGAGGGCCGTTTCCGCAGAATTCCAAGGGTTGGCTTTTTCGTTTCCTTCGAGATGTCGAAGAAAAGCTGTTCGTGTCTCTGGTCTGACGGAGCTGACAGCTTAATTTGTGATAGTTGATAATCTGATAGCCTCTGTCATTGAACGGTGAATGGTTTTTTGGGCGTGCACACTGCAAGACATTGGGTGTTGGACCTCCATGCTTAAATAATAAGCTTTGTAGCATCGGGCAGCATCCAAACCTTTCTATCTATTTCTTGCATGTGCTACCTGCTTGTGGCAAGGAAATCGGTGACCAATCAGAGCGCCTTTGATGGCTGTAGCACACAGAAGACTGCTGACTTAGCTCATGCGCAGAGCGTGAAGAGGCCTGGTTGCATCGATCCAAAATGCACCCTGAAGTGGAACTGAGTTTGTAGTGTATTTGCCTGGTTTCACTGAGGCAGCCAGTCCTTTCAATAATTCTAGTAATCGGTGTGCGAGACTCCAACCTTGAGTACGCCGTGTCGCGGTCGTGGTGGTCGTGGTGGTCGTGATGGTCGGGGTGACGCTGGCTTAAGCCAGCGCGCTGGCTTACATCGATCCGGTTTGGCTGTGTTTGGGCATTGGTGAGGACGACGAACGACTCGAAGTCATTCTTTTTGGGTCATTGGAGGGTCTGTTTTCGGTTTAAGGGCCGCCCCAATTTGCACAGATGCAAGCATGCCAAGCATGACATTTACCAAGGTTTACTAAGGTGTTTTTCGTGTATCGTTGGGTCGGGTGAGTCTTTCTTCAGCTCGTCTCGACGATCCACGATCGTCCAAAACTCAGGAAGGAAACCAACTGGACAGACACCACTTCGGCCTACAATGCGCAGCTTGACCCAGTCAGGACATGTTTTTGTATGTTTTTGTTGTTTGTTCTTGGTTTTGATCCTGGCTCCCAGATTGTGTGGCCCAACCCTCTAGTGCACTCCCTTGACCAGGCAAAAAGGGGGATGATGGATGTTGGTCAAGTGGCGGGCCTCTTTTGAGGAGATACCAAGCACTTTCTTGAGAAGTGCAGAAAGCGTTTCCTTTGTGCAGCAGCTTTTGGGTCCCCAAGAGGTCCTGGAGTTGGGACAGGTCTTGGAGCTGGTTTGGTAGATCCTTCTCCCCCAGACACCTCAGCTGGTGACCAAGGGTTGGGGTGTCTCTCTTCTGACGACGCGTCAACCGAGGCGGCGGTCGTTTCAGCGCCGAGGGTCGTTCCGACGGAACAGATCCATCCCTTCGAGCCTTCTGTCCCGGGGGGGTCCACGAACCGGGTCCAGGAACGGAGTTCTGAAGCTCCAGGAGGTTCTGCAAATTGGTCCATTTGGAGAGAATTGGAGTAAGATTTGGCACGCATTCCGAAGCAGAACGACCGGGCACCCTTGAATGATGATGATGATGTGGTGCTGTACAGTAGAATGTACCAAACCTTGCAAAACGAAGCCGGAAAGCACCAAATGACGCCCGCCGTTTAGAAGCGAACCAAACTTGGAAACCTTTGTTTTGGGGTTCTTCGTCCGACCCGTCGCGAGGGTCGACCAGATTTTGTGCAGCGCCAAGGTGCCAGGCGGAGTTCGAGGCCGAAGCTCTCCGCAGCCGGTTCTCGAAGGGTGGCCGTTGGACTTCATCCAAAAAACTCATCGTTTTTTCAGGCTTCTGAACGAAGCTTTCAACAAGACAATTCTGGGAGACTAAAGCCTTCAATGGCTCTAAGGAGCCAGGTTCACATCACTCAAGCTGGATCAAGTTTTTTGTATGTACAGAGTGTGGTGCTTCAAGGTGGTTTGCGCTCCCTGGGTGGTTCGAGCGCTTCGATGGCTTGACGATGAACGCGGCAAACGGTCTGGTCTTGGCATCCAAGTGGTTTTCAACTTTTTGCAAAGCCATCAACCATCCTTCTAACTTGAAGTGGATTCGAGGGCAGCAAAGTGGATTTAGAATTTAGAAGAGGAAGTTCCCCTATCGAAACAGTGCTAGACTGTACTAGACTGTACGGAGGGTTTTTGCTCCCACACAGTCTGCAATCCAGAATTTCCACTGCTCTTTGAGGCGCTGAACAGCACCTACACCAGCTGCTACCGACAGGCCGTCTCATGTATGCCTTTGTGCGTGAACCTAGAGTTATCGGTTTGCCCTGTCAACGATAAATGATTAATGTAAGTACTAATAAATACTCAAAAGGGTACGTGTGTACACGTCTGAAATTGACCATGAACCTTAACACTGCAGGCTTTCAAAACGAACGTGCATATTTTTGAAAAGAGTCTGCCTCAGGCATATCTGACACGTGTTTGGCCTTGTACGTGCCTGTCTCGTACGTCAACTGAAATCAGTTCTGCTATTAGTTTGGTGATTTTCATAAGTTTTCCCTTTAACTTCGCAAGACACAACGAGAATCTAGACACCACTTGCTCACTTTGTTCAACTTCTCTGAAAGCCAAGCTTCAGGAGACAGTTCTCTGCTTTTTTCCGACCCTTTCCCTTCTTTTCGATGGGCCAACCTCCTTTTTTCATAGTGGGGGGGGCATGGGTCAGGTCGTGGCACAGGCTTTGGGCTCTTGACTCGAAGACCACCTCAATGGTCAGGAATTTGAGGGTCCTTGAGGTTTCCAGCTGATCTGATGCCATCCAGCTGATGGTCACAGAACTGAATTCACCCAACCGCGCTTCCCACGAATGACTCTATTACAATGAAGAAGACATGCCAGGAAGACATGCTGAAGGTGGCGGCCACCGCCCGTTGCGAGTACTTCAAGTCGGTGGATCGGACTCTCGGGCCGAAGCCGAGGAGTGAGAGAGGAGGGAAGGGCCACGACTTCCAGACGAAGTCTGATGGGCTGAAGCCGTTTCTTTGTCACGTCAAACAGACATGGGCTTTTTAGCCACTTTTCGTTGGGAATTTTCTTCTCTTTGGGCTACAAACTATGACATAACTATGACAACTGTGTGAAGGCCCCAGATGGTCTTCCGTGCCACGCTCAGGAGAGTGAAGCCCAGCTTGTCAGTGTTAGAAGAAGTGGGAAGTCCTTGTACTACGATAGAACAGATTGTGATGTGGCAGGTCAAAACTGCAACCCCTGACTTCCCTGGTAGATCAAACCTCCGAAACGTCTTCTATTCTGTTCCTGTTCGGTGGGACAAAGAGTCCAGGCGTCCCGGTGCCATGGCCCAAGAGACTCCTTCCGTTGGACCGTTGGCACCGTGAACATCGCTAGCTGCGGCCATTGGTGGATCCGGTTTCATCGCAACGACGGTTTTGCCACAGAGTCCAGTCCTTTTGTCTGCAGCTTGCAGAGTGCGGGAGGTTTTGACACAGCCGACACTTGACACGCTTCTGGGGAAATGCATTCTTTCTCAACCAACATCTGAGGACTGATAACTTTCAGTCTTGGTTCTGTCACGAGGAGTGGCTTGGCTAGATCGACCGCGGTGGGACAGGCGATGCTTTGGCTAGCTGGCTACTGGCTGAAATGATGTGTTTCCCTGGGATGAAGGTCCGAATCCTTGTGGATGAACATGGGCCGCTCTTCCTTTCTCAGTGTCGTGTTGAGCATCCAGCGTGACCTTGGCACCTCAGTGCCCAGATGTTTGTATTCTTGGAACTTTGGGAATCTGATCCAAGAAATCATCGTGACCTTTTGCTTTGAAGGTGATCTAAGTGATCTATGTACCGTCTCTTTTGGAGTCCAACTCTGTTTCTTTCCTGTCCCTTTTGGGGTCGAGTCGTTTCTGGAATTGGGAGAAACGAACAAGTCTACCCGTGAAGACAGCCCGTTTTGAGACCATTCTACCACATTGACCCGTGAAGAACTCCCCCCCCCACACCTGGAAAAAAGCACGCAAGCACTGCGCTCAGTGACTTTCCGGCGAGCAGCAGCTATGAAGCCTATCTGCAGCGGAACATTGAGATGCTTGCGGACTTCAGGACCGATACGTCTCCAAGAGATTTTCTCTTTGGCACGGCATGGTCGGACGAGGTACAGAAGGTAGACCTGGTCATTAGAACAAGGGAGGGCGACTCTCTTTGCACATGATCACAGCATGAGAGGAACGTGTAGTTGAGAGTCTGTATTCAAGCCTTGGTTGTTGGCTACAAGTCACCAGACCTTAAGACCCACTTTACAGGAAGTCAAGCCAGCCAGAGGAGTCTCCCTTCCCAAGCGAAGGCCAGGCCACGCGACGGCCCCAGGATGCGGAAGTCCAACTGCAGCAACGCGACGGCCGCGCACGGCAGCAAGCAGGTGGAGTGCTCCGGGCACCAGCAGCAGGCGGCGGCCAAGGAGGCGGTCCACGGGGTGCCCGGGAGGCGAAGGTGAAGTTTGGCCAGTGGGCCAGTGGCTGCCAGTGTGACCGTGTGACCATATACTACAAACGCTTCACAAGCCAAACATCAAACGCTTCACCATCCCTTTTTTGGGAATCAATTCCAATCCATTTCACACCTAACTACCTCGGTCTCCGTGTTTGCGCCGTGTCATGCCGTCCGCTGAGATGGCGTGTGCCCACCTGACGCCAACAGCCATGCCGATCGATTGCAGCTCCTATTTGGCCAAGAAGCAGGTCTGCCGGCAGAAGGGTACTGTCATACTGTCGAGCATGATAGGACGTTGGGGCAGTGTAAGAGTGCAACACAGATGTTTGAGTCTGCTTATAGGATACTAGTCTTTTCGGTTGGGGTCCTTGGCACGTAGGGAAATTTTACCACCAGGAGGCAGAAGCCTGAGCTGAAAGCAGCCCTGAAATGATTGTTGGCCACACCACACCATTCCTGAGGCAACATGGGGCAGGTCCCAGCATGGGGTCACGGATCTCAGGCCTGTGCCAGCTACCTGAACTGCTATGCTCAGGCGGGACGTAGAACTGGGCCACAGTCGCATGGACTTGTGGCAACTACTCATTGGCTGGGTTAGTAGGAGCTAGGGACAAATGCGTGGAAAGAACTTGCCTTGCAAGTATATTTTATATAGAACTCACCAAGACACATCAGCATGTGATGATGAGACATGATAGGCTTCAGAACAACCGTGAACTCCCCCTTGGTACTTTTCACCTCAGGTTCTACCCATCCATCCTTCCCTGTCCGGAGTCCCTTCCATCCTTCGCCTCGTGTCTAGTCATGTCCGCCTTCGTTCCCGCCCCAGGCGCAGGGCGAGGTCAGCAGCACCATCTCCACCGCGAAGCAGTTGGCGGACAGTCTCAAGGTGCCGGGGCTCCGTTCGGGTGTGGCGTGGAATGGGCCGTTGCTATGGTCAGCATTGCAAATTAGCAGCACGTTTGGCATCTTCTTATTGAACCGGCTCAACTGTTGAGTGAACCACAAGGGGGGTGGGTACTGCTGTTTGAGAATGCATTCTGATTCTAAACCTTTCATTTGTGCTTGATAGCAACTTGGTGAAAACACTCTCGGTCGAAGCCTTCCACCTTGTCGAGAGCCTCTCGCGGACTCGCGGACGCCTTGCTTTCGCCCAATCTCCGCAAGCCTCTGCGATGTTTGGTGCTACAACTCGACACTCGAATAGGTGAGCACCATGATGGAGAATACATCCCCAAAATGCTATAGTATAGTAGCCTCTATTTAACAAAAAGAAGACCGTGGACGTATACCTGCCAGTGTTTTTATCTTCACATTAGTGACACTGGCTTTTTGAGCAGGTTCAGTGGGCCGCTTTGAAGAAGATCGAGTGTTTGCTGGACGTGATCTTGGCCGCTGGAGATCAGGCGGCCATGCAGGCAAGGCAACTGGGCCAGGGCGGCGACGGCACGACTTCGAGTGGATCGAGGAGTTTTGTTCAGCAAACATCACAGAAATCAAGGGCTGACCGCCACGGTGATCCAAGGCGCCTCAAAACGAACGTGGGGAGACGTGCACAGTCCGAACGACCCCAACAGACCCCAACAAAAAGATCTCTTCCACACGCCAGCGCTGCAGTCGATCGCTTCCCTTTCAAATATGCTTTTTTGTCCATGAACTCAAGAGGCTACACTCGGTACACGGTTGGTACACGCTCCGGCCATCCGGTGCAAGAGACCACCTTCGGACTCCAGAGATCACTCTGTCCAACCAGCATGATTTGCAAGTCGGTCCATCCTTCTTGCATCTTTGTGTCTGTCCAACCTTCTTCCCAACAACTCAGGACCCAGCAGCCTCCCTGCAGTTTTTTTCTTCTTCTTCTGCCTCCCTGTCCCACGGACGGCGTGGACACCCGACGTCCTCAGGCCTGCGTGGACGCCACGCACGACACGTCCGCGCTGAACATCATTGCCCCGGCGAACCCGCCGACGGAGGCCTGTGATGCGGGCGTTCCGCCCACGGGCTGCCCTGCTTGAGGAGGGTAACCGATGTGGAGCATCAAACAAAACAGATGGGACTTACTGCAATAAAGCGTCAATATTTTTGTTTTTGTTGGTGAGCTTGGTGTTTGTGTGCCAGTTCTTAGATCTATTGCCTTCCTTGATCTTGGTGACTTAGGAGCTAAGAATACAAGATGCTCCTATTGTTTTTTAGCTCCCACCTGGCCTTGAGCAAACGTTTAGGGCCGGACAGAGCAAGATGCTCTGGACTTAGCTTCAGTCAGCTTTCAACTGAGAGCCAAAAAGGAGCCACAGAGCCTTGTCCTTTTCGGGATCCAACTCGCTCAGATCAGCAGAAAACCCTTGAGCCTCCGAGCGTCTCTCGGATGAGCGTCTCTCACAGAGGTTGTAACGGCGGCATCTTCCGTCCTTGCGCTGAGCAACGTCCGTCTCCGCACGTCGCCATCTGCACCGCGCACAAAGACTCTGAGAACGAGAATGTGAAGGCCCGCAAGCATAAGCAGTCGAACCTGCAGCACGAGGTGTGAACAGACGCAGTCGAACCTCTGGATGGACCGTTGGCGCCTCTGCCCCCCCCACAGCGACCGTTGAACTGACCCGGTGGCGACCCGTCGGCGACCGGGCGGCGACCGAGTGGGTGAGTTTGGGGCGACCGAGTGTCATTGGTTGTTCCAAGGCCTTTGCTCCTTCTCTTAGTGCGTGGCCTCTTCCTTCCAAGGCCTCTGTTCCTTCCCCTGTCACGAAATCCCCGTCGTTTTGGCCTGCTGTTCTTGACCTCGAGCGGGGAGCACTGCAGCCGAAACGACGGTTCAGCGGTCAACGGCGGCTATGGGGTCATGGGGTGTCCTTACGTCCTCTCCCTTCTTCGCTCCCTTCGCTCGATCTCTTGCAGTTCCTTTGCACGTCGAGGGACCATCTCCTGGTCTGAAATCGCTGCCATGCGCGGTTCGACCAGTCGGACCGCGCGCATGGCGAGTCCGCGGTCGGAGAAGCAGGTTACTGGTCACCCATGGTGATGCTTGGAGTTCAGCAAAGACAGTCTGGTCTGGTTTGTGGATCTGGATATGAACCAAGCACCGGGGGGACACTTCCAGGCGATGTTTTAGGAACTCTTTTCAGCCCACTCTCGGGGCTGGCTTCAACGCTTCCTCCGCTTCATTTGCGCAAGTCCTTCCTGGACTGCACGTTTGTCGGCCGGAAGTGTCTGATTCAACTGCCCCTTTGCGGCTTTTGGTGCAAACTCTGCAAGGTTTTTTGTTGTCAAGAGAATCGTTTTATTTGGATGATCGGATACCTTGAAATACTTTGAACCCCCTTGTATTTTGTAATTCCTCAAGAAGGCTGTTCAAAGGGTGACTTTTCAAGGTAACTCAAGACATTCACAAACCCAACAAAACCTAAAGATTTCCTATAACTCTTGAGAGTGAAAACCTTTGAAAAATGCCTTCAATTGGCTGCAGCAGGGTTCAAAGCTTGGTCCAATGCCTGGCTCAATTCCTATTGGATTCAGTGGCACTGGGCTGCCTCCTCATCAAGGATCAGGAGGAGGAAGAAGATGATGAGGTTAAACTTAAACCCCTCTTTTGAACTCTATTGATAGAAGAAGAACTGCGTTGGACTTCCTGAGGCTGTCTGAGACCACCGTAAGCTCTCGCTTGCACTCGAAAAGAATCCCTGTGGACTGCACCCAAAGCAGAGGGTGGGGCCAGAATGCCTTTACCAAACTTGGTGTTGTTGCAAGCCAAACATGCGCCGTATGCAAAGTATGAGTATGCAGCAACCCAGTCTAAGATGAGGCCCCGTGCCGCCCCGTTGGCTCGGCACAACACCATCTACGTCGTGCCGACGCGTGGCGAAGCCTTTCGCCTTGGCAGTACTGGGAACTACTCGGTTTTGCTTCGGGCTCTGGAGCACGGCCCAGAAGCACGCCCTCCTCCTGCTTTGCCAAAACTGCAAGCGGGGGAGGGGTGCTTTTGCAGTGGTTGCACATGCTGCAGGCAGCCCAGTTTGCGAGCATTGACGGTCCGTTGAGGAGATTCTTGCGTCTTCCACCCTTTTCAGACATCCGTTTGGGGGCACCTGTTTTAGGAAACTCTCGTGCGGCACTCTTGTAAGACAATCTTGCGGGACGCTCCAGTTTGACACCGCCAGGTTGGATAGCAACACCGCTGGTTGTTTTGAAGCAGGCGTCGCCTGGGAGGTGTCACACAGGAAGTCTCAAAGGAGCATACTCGCTTGAAAGCTTTGGTTGCCCAACGAATTATCCACCGCCTGCAGATCAACATGAATCGGAAAAAATGCTACTGTATCATTTGTATCCCCTTTGTGGTACAGCTGTCACCACACCATGCGCCATTGCCAAAGTTTGGCCCTATATGCAAACCACGTTGTGCAGCCTTCCCGCCAAACATCAGCGTCGACGGCCCGGCACTTGTGTAAAGATGACGGAATTTGGCACATCTTCGGTCGTGGTGGCCTGGTTGATCGTGTGTTGTGTTCGACGAACATGGTGAGCTGGCCCATCGGTCGCTGGGGAGGCAATGCGGCACAGATCTGTGTCTCCAATGTGGTGGGTGCGCGGGCTACATGTCTGCAAGTTGCAGCACGAACGAAGCTGCCCCAAAATCACCGTGACAAACGTTTTGTTTCTAGCGTCCTGCCGCTTACGCCAGCACCTATTCAGAACGAATCCTTGCAAAGTAAACGGTAAACCTAATGGCACTGTGACAAGCAACGCGTGCACAAAACCCAGCAGCGAATGCAAAAACGACGCAAATTCACGACAGTTGACAAGCAGGTACGGTGCAGGACGATGCCATGTCACACCCAAGGAAGCCACGTCTGTGGCCTTTTTACGGAAACGGGTAAAGGATTTTCGTTTCTGTCCGCCGTTCGCGAACAAATCATTGTCCATGGAGCGTCGGGAGGTTAATGTGCGGAACTCAGGGGTTCGTGCTACACATGGCGCCACGCAGACGAGTTTCTTGCAACTCCTGTGCCTTTGGATGGTGTTGAGCGTGCGCTTTGCGTTTTTTAGCTATCAGCAATGGCCCACGGCCCGCTTCATCTCAATATGGTTTCCTTCTTCATTGGTTCGACGTCTGCCACGGAAATGTGTGACCTTGTGGCAAAGGGCACTTTTTGTTCAGCTTCCTTCACGTGCCCAACCGATACCCTCAAACACCAGGGCCCGGAATGGGGTACAAAAAGGTCTGGAATGGGCACAGTTTCATGGTAGACATTTAGTGGGTGACTACTGTAGACCCTGTGTAGTTGAGCTTGAAAATGCGTGGCCGTGAAGTTGGAATTGTTTTTTCCTAATCAGTGTGAACACACTTAGGGGATGTTAGGGTTCGGGCGTGGGCGGCTAATTCGCTTCTATTTACAGTGCATTCATGCCACTCAATATCCTCGAAATGCATTTCGGCTGCGCAGGCTCGCGAAATCTGCGTGGGTGCGGCGGGTGCTTCTAGCGACAGCGCTCTCGTTGTGGTGTCATGCGCATTTTCGCACATGGTGGTCATTTTCGTGGCAGGTGACAGGGAAACCTCGTGTTTTCGTGGTTCAAAGCCGACTTGTCGTGACAGGCGCAAGGGATCAAAGCGGTCTTATTTGGAAGTGTAGATTTCCTGGCAGGTACAGCACTTTGGACATGGTGGTGATCTTCGACGAGCTCTGATTTTCCTGCCAGGTGCTGTGAAGCGTGACTTCTGGAGATGTCGCCCTTTTGCAAATTTCGTGGCAGGCGCAATGCATTGCGAACCTCGAATTGAAAATGTCGTGACAGGCGAAGCACTTTATGAACTTCGAAGTGCAGATTTTGTGATAGGCGCAGCACTTTGTGAACCTTGAAGTGCAGATTTCGTTCAGGTTCCGTGAAACGGGCAGCACTTTAGGAACGAAGTGTATTTCGTTCCAGGCGCATCACTTTGTGAACCTCGAAGTGCAACCTTTAGCGGCAGGCGAAGCACATTGTGCAGTGTAGATTTCATGCAGGCCTCTCGCTCTCACTCGCTCTCACTCGCTCTCACTCGCTCTCACTCGCTCTCACTCGCTTTCACTCGCACTCAGAGTCACAGACTCACACACGTTCACCCTCATTCACTCTCACACTCACGCTCCCTCTCACTGTCCCTCGTTCTCTCACCCGCTCTCGTCCACACGCGCTCCCCTCGCTCGGTCGCTCGCCCACTCACTCTCAGGCACACGCGGACATTGGTTTTCAGGTCATTTACTTCCAAGTGGAAAAAGGTGAGGGAACGGAAAGGTGGAAGAGTCCGCAGAACAGTATTGTTTAGCAGAATGACACGCGTGACTGCAGAACACTAGTTACTGAATACTTAGCAGACCTAGGAAAAGAAAGAGTGAACCCAAAGGCGACGAGTACGAGTACTTGAAGGTGTTTTAACAAAGGTTGACGCGTGACTGCAGAAAACTCATTACTGAACACTTAGCAGACCCAGGAAGGAAAAAGTGAACCGAAAGGCGAAAAGTGTTTTAACAAAGGTGGACGCGTGACTGCAGAAAACTAGTTACTGATTGCTTAGCAGACTGAACTCACGCCGTGCAAGGAAACCTGTTTTGGGGGATGTCATGCGAAGAACCACCATGGAAACAAACCAACAGCGGCAAGGGAAGTATCGGTGGTGACCCGGCCCCCTGCCATGACAAGTTGAAACTTTTAGTTACAGAGGTGGACACACACACACACAGAGGGCCCATATCGGCGCTCTGGAGGAACTTACTAAACATGTACAAAACCTTTGAAGGAAAGACAAGGAAACACAAAAAGAGCAAACGAAGAGGGCAAGAGAGAAAAATAGGAGTAGTTACGAGGCCCACTTGTTATGAAACCTTCTAGTTACTGAAAATTTAGCCGAAATGAATTAAATTCATGAGTTAGCGAGCGGGACATTCGTCTTAAACCGCCCGGGTGGCTAGGAGTAGAAAAGGAGAAACAGAAGGAAGGGTACCGACACACAAGTGTGTCGAGTACCATTTCCTTCTGTAACCCTGGCTAGCGGGTGGGATAGAAACATGAATTCGGTTGTGGGGGGGGGTGCGTGGAGGTGCATGTGTGACACATATACATGGCCGTAAGCCCGAAGGTGAGTCGCATGCGTGACACATATACATGGCCGTAAGGAACTGCACAAAATGCGACATCAATCACATGAATGCACCGGCGGAAATGTTGTTGTGGGCCCGACGGCATAGGGTTTTGTGGAACCCAGGAGTGAAACAGAGTCCGTTAAGAGAATCCAACGTGTGCAGAACGGAAGAAAACCAGTGAATGTTAATCCGGAATGAGGACAGCGCTCCCTTGCGGGAGATCACACCCAGCACCCAAGTGGGACGACTGAGCGGTTCACACTTTGACATTGGTTTTCAGTTAATCTATTCCCAAGTGGAAAAAGGTGAGGGAACGGAAGGGTGGAAGAGTCCGCAGAACAGTATTGTTTAACAGAAGTTTACGCGTGACTGCAGAACAATAGTTACTGAATACTGAGCAGACCTAGGAAAGGAAAGAGTGAACCGAAAGGCGAAGAGCCCGAGTACTTGAAACTTGAAGGTGTTTTGACAAAGGTTGGCGCGTGACTGGCAGAAAACTAGTTACTGATGACTTAGCAGACTGAATTCACGCTCTGCATAGAAACCTGTTTTGGGGGATATCATGCGAAGAACCACCATGGAAACAAACCAACAGCGGCAAGGGAAACCAGTGGAGTCATTGCGTTTGATGCAGGTACACGGTGGAGCGTCCTACTCGCACGCTCACTCTCAGCCACGCCCGCGCACAGACAGTCACAATCACCCCAAACCCATGACCGCGTGAACCCCCATAAGGAAAGCGCAGAGGAACCAGAGCAAGGAATGTGGAGAAGAAACACGCTTACACGATGCTTTCATGGATGGGTTTTGGATGGTAGGGATGTATCCGGAAGAAACAGCTAGAACCCATAGCTGGAGTTCCCCCAGGTGGTCTAACACCTAAACGCGTTTTTAGCCCAGTCCCTAGACTCCACAATTGGGGGTCTACAATGCAGCCACCCAGAGTCCGTAGAAATAGTTGACGGTATCCCATGAGGCCCGCGGAGCTTCATCAAGCAGCCCTGGCCTTGAAGAGTCAAACCACAAGCAAAATCAAAACCAACGAACGCCATTGTTTGGCTGTGACAGAGGTTGACGAGCTGACATCTTTGGTGGCCGATGCTGAAACCGGCATTGCCCGTCAAGATTTGGACCAGGCCCTTGTTTTTGAACAACATTTTGCACAATTCAGTGCCTGGCCTTTGACACAGGCTGTGTGCCAGGAATTGCTGCTGAAACTGGCGGCTTCTGGGGCAGGAACCCAAATTTGGCCCCTTGTGACCTGGTGGGGGCACAGCCAATAGCAGTGATGGAAAACTAAGGATGCCGTGCGGGCATCGTCATGGTTGGGGCGAATCCGTGCACATCTTACAACACAAGTTGGAACTTGAACGTTTGGAAATCATCATGTGTGGCTTTCACGAGGCCAACATCGCGTGGATGTGACCCCAGATTGTTACGAGGCCGTGCCTGCAAACATGGAAACCTACAACAACCCAACACGTACCTTCACTCCATGTATTTTTATAATTTCGGATTTGAACCGTTTGGACTATTCCAGGGTCGTTGTTGAGCAGCTCGGCCTTTAGCCAACCATTCTTATCGACATGATGGGTGCTGCGCAACGCATCCCATGACTTGAACGAATGTCGATAAAAAGGCAATCAAATGCTTGTGTTTGCTCGCGCGCGGTGTTGCCAGGCCGTGATTGCCGCCCAGTGCGCCAAAGGCTTGCCGGCCCAGGCCGAAAGTACTCTCGAGGCGAACCGTGGGATTTGCCAAGTGTGTGGTTTCAAGGTGATGCCGTGAGTCATGGGGCATGATTTGGCATGACCGTGCAGAAAGACCGTGTTCGTATGGCTTTGGGAGGGTATTTCTTGACCTGTGCCGGCAGCGACCAATCACCTCAATCCTTTGATGTATGCAAAGGCTGCAATTTTGTGAGGTCCATGCCAAAGAGCTGGCAGTGGTTTGGAACTCAAAGATGTGATTGTGTTGGCCGGCACCCGGGCCAGCGCACATCATTTGGGGGTTGGACCTATAGAAGTTCGCGAGTGATTTTAGCGGGTCCATGTGCAGGGTCCAATGGATAGGTTGGACCAATGCCAACGGGCATCTTTCGATACACCCACCTCCAAACCTGAGGCGCCTACCAACCCACAGCCGCAATCCACAGCTGAGGACGGGCAGCGACCATCCAGCGCTCCCTACGGTGCATTGGTGCAGGCAAGCGTTTGTAGCAAAACTAAGCAAAAGTGCGAGTGAGTCCGCGTGAGTGAATTTGGATGGGCGCGGACGCTCGAGGCATATGCAAAGCAGGGCGACCTTGAAAAGGTGCAGGAACATCTTAGCGCCATGTGGGGCCCCAAGTGCGTACAGCCAGCTTGCATGACAAGGGGAAATTTTTCAGTCTGAAGTCCATAGGTCCATAGAAGGTGACCACAACTGTATTCCTTGATTGTGTGATGCAAGGTTGTGAAAGTTGGCAGTGGATGCCCCCGTAGGATCAAACGTGGACAGCGGATTGTACGCCTAATTGGCCCGTTGCCCACATAATATATATTAGTTCCTAGAGGGCTCAAATCGGACCAGCAGATAGCAAGGAAGAGTTTGGGACTCTCCATCGACATGCCCGCAGCTCAGAACGCTGCGGTCGATGTGTTTCAATGGTGACTGTATTCAAGCATCGCATCGGGATGTTGCAGACCTAGAAATGTTCATTTCGAGCACCCTTTCCATTGCATCACTTGTTCACATGTGTTTCGCCCTGCGAATGTCGCATTTGTCACTTGTGTGCTGTGGTTAGGAAGGGGGCGCCCGCCCCCAACCATCGCCACGCATCTCCTCGTGCCTGGGGGGGCGTGAGCGACCGGTGTGCACCCGCAGCGGTGTGTTGAGGCCTAGCTATGCCGCGGCCATCGAAGCCTGGGTCCGGACACTCGAAACCGTTGCCAAACACAGTTTTTCTTGTGAGTGAGTCCCAGCTCAAGATCATGGTCGTTGAAAGTGGATGTGATCAACACCCTGACACAAAAAGAGGATATGGAAGTTGGGAAGGCAGATACGGCGTCTCACCGCCAGCATCGTCAACCCTTCGTAAACCCCATGATGGACACCGCCAAGGTTGCCCCATTCAAAGATGAAAATGGTCAGAAAACTTTTTTCCATGCTTTGCCAACCTGTTTCCCAGAAACCCCTTTGTTGGTACATCAGCCCATCAATCCTTGCATGACCACTAGTTGACAGAGCCCCTGAGGCCAAGAGGGGCGGATGCGATGCCGCTCGGAGGATCCTGGATGAGGCGGTGGCTTCAGGCCAGGCGGCACCGGCCGTGCGGGAGGGACGCATGCCCTCTCTGCACCAGGCCCTGGTGGAAACTGAGCACGTTTGTCATGTGCGGACGAAACGTTGGGGAACTATCATGGAAGTGGACAATGGGTGGGAAGTATGTTTGCCAGCAGGTTTTTCCGCGTCCATGTTTGGTCCAGGGAGGGTCTCCTGTTTCCTTTTCCTTTGCCCTCCAACTCTTGAATTATGATTCCTCCGGTTTGTGCGCCCCTAGTTGCTGAGATGGACTACGCCTGTGTGGACGGAGGTGAACCAAAAAGGAACGGCGGTGTTGACCCAACATGGCACATGGTAAGATGATTTTGGAGTCTTCGATCTCCACCAGGTCTACACCCCAGCCGCGGGACCTTCACGGCGGCGGTCAGTGCCTATACCAAGGAGATCGGGCAGCGCGTGGATGGTGAAGGTGGTGAAGGTGGTGAAGGTGCAAGACGTCAGACATGTACAGATTAAGAGTGATGGGCACATGCAACTGCAGGATTTCATCTTTTTCCCGGGTGGTGCGGGAAGGGGTGCACGATTGGCTGCTCTGCGAGTCACGCTGCGTATCGCCAGCCGTGTGGTCTGACACTGAAATCAGATACATCTCTACTCCGTGGCTAGGAGTCCAGGCTTGCCGAGGCGGTGGCGGCCCCAGCAAACAACTGGGGATTGCCGGAGCCGACGAAGGTTGGGCGGTTGACATGGATTCTTCGCCGAGGAAGCGATCATGACAGCCATGCGCGCCGCCAGCGTCGCAGCCTTGATCCAATCACTTTGGTTCAAAGATGTTCGGACCTAACCCGAGAGCTTGGTATGCCCTGCCTATGAGTGTAGCAGGTTTAGAGAAATGTCCTTGCATGGAGACGAGTCCTCCATGGCGACTGAGGTCGATCCAGATGTGTCCTACTTAGAGTTTGGAAGCGCGAGGCTGTTGGCTGCTGTGACATTCTGCTTGAAGAGTGTCATGGCTACAAACTGATGGTGCTTTCCGTGCCGTGAATGCCAAGATGTCACACCTGACAGATATTTTTCATCCTTTTGAAGCCTCCCAGGCCTCCCAGACTCCCAACACCTCCAGCCACACTCTGAGGCAGACACCTGGGCATGGCTCCTGGTGGCCAGCCCGGACCGCCCAGATCCCGCAGATCCGCTCCCGCTCCGATCCCCGGCTCTGGGAGCGTCGGTCGGGTCCAGGTACCTCCTCCACGAGCCGAACGCGTCGGAAGAACAGCTTCACCAGCCCGGAGGCCATCTTCAAGCAGATGCTGGCCAGCGGTGTGGCAGGGAGACCCAGGGAGGACCTGTCGGGAGGACCTGGACCTGAGGACCTGAGGACCTGAGTGTCGTTCAGTGTTGACGCTTGATTGACGGTTCTCTTTTCGACGCGCTCCCCCCCTTGTTGCCGGGGTGGTCAAGAGGACAGCCAGACTTTTTTGCTTTTGATGGGGGGGCTGCATTCACAACATGAGAGAAGCGAGGAGCAGACGTGGGACAACCATGAATCCATTATAATTATAATTATCACGGCCAAGTGATCTTCATCCATGGTGACAGAAGAGGCTGAATCCAACCAGGGAACTCATGCATCTAGATCGGTTCCAGATGGTGCTGTGCTGGTTTCATGTCCTCATCCATTCTTGCTCTTTCCTTTTAAGGGGGTTTCTCCGTCTCCATCAGGTGTTCTCCAACGTTTTGGCGCAGGATCTTTTCTTGCTCTCCCCGCTTTGGAGAGTCTCCAGTTTCGTGGTCCGAACGCTCCAGGTTTGCAGGTTCTTTCGGGGTGTCCGAACACCCATTCCCAACCCTCCACGCCGCTCCTGACCGCTCAAGGCCCCGAACGCCTTCGTGCTGCGCGCGCTGGGGAGGGCCGTCGGCCTCGAGAGGCACCACCGGACCGGCGCGGTGGGCCTTGTTCGCACCAGTGATCCAATTCTGTGGTGCCAGAGCCCGCTCATCTGTGACTGACTCATGACTGGGATCCGCTCTGGGATTTCGAGGTCCAGCTGGAGGTCCTGCTAGCCTCCTGGTGTTCTTTTGTCAGGAACCTGTGCCTGAGGTTAGAGGCAGCACTTTTTTTTGGGACTTGGCAGTATCACTACGCATTGTCTCACTGTCTCAAGATTGCATGAGTATTTTTTTTCCTCTCGTTCTTTCTTGCTTCAAGTGAAGACGGGGTGGGGGTCCCCCCAAACCATCCTGGAGCAATGAAAGAGTGACGCACCCCCAGCACCGCAGCACAGCACCCCCGATTTCGGGGTGGCTTTTTGTGGGGATTCCCAATGCCATCGTCAGCGGGGGGGTGTCCAAGAAAACCATCCGAACTCCGGGGGTTCCCGGACTTCCCGTCCCATCCTCCAACCGAGCGGCGCGCGGCGTCGCCCCTCGCAGGCGGGAAGAGCTCTGCAAGGAGTTCCACCTGGACCTTTCCGGGGTTCCCAATCGACGCGTCAGGAGTGCATGCCCTTGGATGGGAGGTAAGCTGGAGAGCTGATGGAGGGTTTGGGTGGAAGTGGTTTGGAGCTTCCCTGAAGAGGTTGCAAGTAGTATATAGTAATCGTTTTTGGAGAAGCTGGGGATATGTTCGACATCAGGGTGCATAAGGCCCCTCCTAGCCTAATGGTTTGGAGTTTGGACCGGGCCACTGAGGGCTGGGAGCCTCCCGGAGGCTGTTTGGAGCGACCCGCGTGATGCGTGGCGCTCGCCGGGGCGATCTGCGTCGCCCGCTCCTCGCTGGACCTGAAAGGAAATATCCGGCCCCGGGCAGGGAGGGATACGGATCGATGGCCATGTGAGGCGCTCTCCCAGGCTGGGACGAAAGGACATGAAAGACTTTTGTGTGTCCTCTCCAGCCTCTTTCATAGAACATCCAGGAGCCATGTTGAAGTGAAGAAGCAGAACTTTACTGACATGTTACTGTCGGTGGTGCCGGCAGCGAACGGCCCATTCGCGCGCTGCACGCATTGTGGCCCGGGTCGGGTGTCCGTCCACCAGCTGCAGGTCATGGGTGCATGGCCGAGGACTGGGAGAAGGCCTCAGTCTCGTAGAAGTCCAAGTCCCAACGCATCTGAGGCTGTCCACGACTTTCTACTAGCGAGTGAACTGGTAGGAATCCTCATGAAGGTCGCTTGATCACGAGTGAACTGGCGGCAGGAGCCTGTGAGCCGTGAGGTTGCTCTACGAAGTGCTGGAGGCCAGGATCGGGGGGGCAGAAGAGATCCTGCACGAAAAGCTCGAGGTTTGAAGGTCATTGGAGTGGCTGGTCCTCAGCGCGTTCCCAAACAGAGGACCACCCTGCTGCCATGAAACCCGGTCAAGGCACTCCGTGCGAAGCCGAGGCCCCCGGCCGGTGACCGGCGTGGCCGGCGTGGCCGCCGGCACCAGTCCGGCGAGGCGGCCCAACACCAGCCCGGCCACATGACCGGGGTGCCCAGTGGTGACGGCGAAGGGATGGAAGGTCGGTGAAGAACTGATTGGAGTTGATCAGAGTCAGAGCCAGAGCTTGGGCAAGGAGACATGAGGGAACACCTACCATCACACGGGTTGTTCATTCCATGTAGATTCTGGGCCTTTCCCAATGTAGAGAGTTCGTTTGGTGCCGGAGGTTGGTCATTAAGCCAGACTGGGGCCCTTTGATCCATTGCAGTCTATGTGCTCCGACTCCTTGAGCTGCAAGTGACGAAACTCCTGCTGACACGACCTGGGTCGACCCCGCCGATCGTTCTTCCGTTCGAATCGTGGCCTCCCATGCTGGTCGCTTGCCCCTCGTGGTGTTGAGGTGCCTTTCCGGAGAAGCACTCGCCGGTGATCAACGTGTGTGAAGCTAAGAGGAGGAGCAATTAGGCAGGATTATAGTGGAGGTACTTCTACCGGCTGGAAGGCCACTAGTTTTCAATCTTGATGGCTTTGCCTTTCAGGATTTTCGACACCATGACCATAACACGAAAACCGAACTTCTTTCACATGCGTGTAGTTGTTAGTAGTTAGTTTAGCGTCCATGACTAGGTCCACTCAAGCCTGAAGAAGTCGGTTGCTGACTTTGGAAACAAAAAACGGGTTTCTACAGCATAGCACCAGTTGCATCTGAACTTCCAAGGCCTCGGACTGTGGCCATTCGCTCCCGATGCCTGTCGACGCCCCAGAGAGCTGGTGAAATTCCGTTCGGACATGCCTTTTCTGTCTCCCTGGCTGGGTCAGAACGAGAGCGGCCCACCCACCCAGTCGGCCGTGCAGGTCATGTCCGGTCCAAGTCCCACCTGACCCTTCCCCCCCCTCCGCCAGCGGCGACTTTCGAGCGGCCTCTTTCTCGGTGGGAGCGGGAGCCAGGATGCAACGCACACCCGGTGGACCGGTGCGCGTGCCGCTGCCCAAGGAGCTGGTGCCGGTGCGGAGCCCGGGAGGGAAGGGAGGCTCCAAGCTCCAAGCTGCAAGGCTGATCATGGCAAGCATGGCAACCATCCACTGCAGCATCTTCAGTGGGATAGGTTCTGGTCCAACATTGGAGATGGCATCACCTGGAACGTGATGTCTCGGCACCATCGTCCTGTTGCGTTTCTCAGATGATGGGCCGCATGGTACATGGGGTGCCGCATGGATGAGGTCTTGTGCCGCATGGAGCATGACAACAACGGTTGGGGCCTTGGGAGATGTGACCTGCCGTTTCTGCCGAGTCTGTCAGCTTGGACAGCACATCCGAGCATCAGGTAGAACTAATGAGTGACACATAAGTTGAAAATTCCACCGCCACCTGAACTGATTTTTGGGACGGCAGTTTCGGGAGCTGGACAGGGCTCCGCTCTAAGAGTCGGACCGCATTTTGCTTGGAGCTTTTGGGATCAAAGGAGTTGACGGTGCCCCGACCCCTTTTTCTCGCAGAGTTTGCGTGAGCCATGTCCTTCCGTGGCCTTCTTTGCGTGGCTTGGTTGGACTTTGAGAAGCCATGGAAGTTGGCAACAGGATGCAAAGCGATTTAGAAAGTAGTAGGCGCTGAGGTTTTTGGGTGGTGGATGGTGAACTTCATTGGTGGCTGCTAGGGTGACATGCGGGGCAGCCCACATGAGGAGACAAAACGAAGCCTTCGAAGGTCGTGGTAGGTGGGCTTGTCTGAATCTAAGGGACTTCGTTTTCCACCTTCCGCCACCATCGGGAAGTGGAACGAACTCCCTTTTGCCCTTTGTGTTTGTAGAGGCTAAATCCTGTTCCAGCATCTTCGCTTGAGGTCGCCTTTCCCTTCTGGGCCTTGGGTGACGTTGCGCCACTGCTTCGTGGAAGTCAGTGCACCGGCACCGCCACATTGCCCAGCACACCGGCCTGCTATGGGGGCACTGTTTTGACCAGCTCCTTTTCGGTGAAGGTCGTCAGCTCCTTGGACGGAATCGGTTCATGGCAGAAACAGGGTGACCAAGTCCTGCTATGGAGAGGCGCGTTTTGTAGAGCTCTCATCAAAAGGGGGTCCTTTTTGCTGAAGTTACCGTAGGTTTGGAGGGATCAAGACTGATTTGGCAAGTTGCCCTGTAATTATATATATAATATTAAAATATTATATAATATATATATATATTATATATATATACATGTATATGTTTCTTTTTCTTTTTTTTGTTTCTTGAGCTTAACGGCCCCGGGTGTGACACCAGGAAATATCACAACGACGTCGTGGTTTTTTCCCCGCCCGTTGGGCGGTGTGAGTCGTGAAGCCCCAGGAAGACACCGCTCACGCGAGAATGGACGCCCCCAGGACACGATCAACGGATTCCACAGTCAGGCTAGGAGGAGCTTGCAGGTTTCCAGGTTCTGGTCTCCACGCCCTAGAAAACAAGGACTTGGAACCATTCAGCACAGACCACGGTGCACAGACCGGCTTCTTCCTCCAAAAAAACTGCCCGAACGTCTCCGTCCGCCAGCACCCCCGAGGCGTGGACGGCGACGTGGGCGTCGTGGACCTGAAGGCCACGGGCGAGGCCTCCGCGGAGTGCGATGGCGCCCACTTCTCAGCCGACGCCTCGGGCGGCATCACCGTGGATGGCGAGGGCTGTGGGCTGAGCGCCTACGACTACAGCGTGCAGTACTGTGGCCCGGTCGAAGTTTGAGAGGGCGGCAGGCCCGGTAGGCTTGAGGCGTGGGGAACTTAGGGACGAGGTGGAGGACAACCAGGTTGAACCAAACGAGATCTTGAGAAGGGATGCAGAGATCAAGGTGGGATGGACCTCTGGCCCTTTGCATGTCTTGGTCATAATGCTTAGCCCCACCGACGTGGCTTCTGGCCGCGGATCATTTTCCCAGAATGATAGGGGAGAGCCTTCGCTGGCTCAGCTGGAAAGATGCTTTTCACTTTGGGAACTGCCCGAGGCTCTGACCAGGATAAGCTCATCGTTCACCTGCAGAAGCCCACCGAGATCTCTGTGGTCCTGCCCAGTCAGCCCTGCCCTGGAGAGGTCTAGAGAGCGTCCGCAGCGCAGCCGCGGGCTGCCGCTGTGGCAGGGTTGGGTACCACAGCTCCCGGCGTCTACCGACGCCTCAAAGGGGGGAGGTTGGGTCTTCTTCAACCCCGGCCCAGAGTCGGCCAGAGAGAGAGAGAGTTGGGTTGCGTGACCTGGGCACCCCATCTCCTTATACTACCAATTCGGTGCAAGCCCTTTGGCAATAAAACGATTGCTTTCACGGGCCTTGGGCCTGGCCTTCGACCGGCCTGGGTGCCGACCTGAAACGGCCGGACCCGACAGATCGATCCCGAACTCGGCGGAAAATCGGTGTGGTGGATGTCGGGGCTCCGGTCTCTGGAGGTCTTTTTCTATTTTTTGTTGAGGGTGGGTGAGAACAGATTAGTCTGGTATCCAAGTTGAGCATGTGTCGAACTACCAGCTACCAGTCAGAACCTTGAATTCCTCCTTGCTCGCCGCTACAGGAGAAGCTTTGCCCCCAGTTCTTCGTGTTTTATGACCTTTTCGAATCGGTTTTCGTCGGTGTGCACCGCCCAGGCGAAGCGAGCACCGCCCGCTCCAGGCTTGGAGGAGTGTTTGAAGAGCACCGCCCACCGAGTCATAGGGACTGACGCCGTGTTTCTGAAGCGGCGGCGTTGGCCAGTCAGGTGTCTGCACACCACCCACTTCGTTGGAGAGAAATCGTCACATGGCCACAGGGGGGGAGGACAGGGGATGGGAAAAACATCGGCTTTACCCGGCTTTGACCGGTTTGCTTGGAGGGATTATGCGAAAGTTTAGACTCGTCATGAGCCGCACACCCAATACAATGCCCGCGGCAGAGCGAACAACATGAACAACGACAACAGCTGCAGCAACCACTGACAGAGGCAAAACGAAAAGACGAGTCTAGAGATGACTTGCGTACCCAACTCATAAAATCTAAAGGCTCCTGGACCTCTAGAACATGTAGAACTTAAGTAGCCAACACTAAGAATCCTTGAAGCATCACTGAACAGATGGGTGACTTCGCATCCTCCTTCTTCGTCCACCGAGGCAGCAAGTGCCGGTGGAGTTGGTCTCTGCGCAGCCGCTGCCCAAGCGGCCGGTCACCAGCCGCATCGGTGCCGTCCCCAAGACGACGTGGCGTTTCCGCCGGAGCGGTGGAAAGGGGTGGGTGCTCGGTGTGTTTGTTCCGGAAGGCGGTGGAAGGAGGTGGGGCAATCCGCCACCGAAAAGGCGGATGCATTGGAGGGCTGGTCTCTCAGCTTCTCACCTCAGAGAGATCCGAGCTGAGAAGCTGAAGAGGATGCTGAAGAGCTGTTTTGGTCTCCAAAAGCCTATCCAAATGGTTCTTGGGTTCGGGGGTGCTCGTTTTGGACCTTGCAGGTAAAGCCTTCGGGCGCCCGTCCAAGCGAAGGTTTCGCGCCATGTTCGGTCCTTTTGCTTCTCATTCGCTCAGCTTGCCAGAAGGGCGGCGGGTTGTTCTATTTGTTTTAGCAGCCCTGCATCTTCATCCGTGCAGGCAGCCTGGCACATGTGGCGGAGAAGGCTTGGAAGCTCACGGAAACCCTTCTCTTTCACAGTGGAAGTGGGTTCCTCTGGCCGGAAGAGGTATGCTGAGGCAGTGTCGACAGTCAATCAGAGGGCCTTTTGGTCATTGGACAGATGGCAGCTCAAACGCAAAAGAAGGGTTGGACGCTTTTACATTCACGCCCTCAACAAAAACTATTATATAATATATATAATATATAATATATATATATATCATAATATATAATATATACAGAGTAATACAGAGACAACCACACCCCGGTGATGGGATCTTAGATCTTCGACTCTTTGGTATATAGTATATGTTTGCCAGGAGGCCTCCAGACAGGAGCTGCCAATGCTAACTCCCGAGTTGCGGGCGGCCTGGGCCTGAGGTGACAACCACGAAGTGGGCATATATAGACGGGTGTTTTCCGGATCAAGAGGATAGGCTAGGTGATAGATACCCACAGCCACATGTAGCATTTCAGTGTTTGAAGTTCCACGTGTTGTAGCACTCCATGAAGTCTCGAATCCGAAGGCCCAATGGAGGACTGCATGCCCTAGCAACGTCCCTACGTCCTCCCAAAAATGCCCCCCCCCCCCCTCCAAGGAGTCGAACTTGGAGTGTTTTGGGTGCCCATGATCCACATCCACATCCACTAGATGGGACCCCAAACACCACCCCGGCCCTCGCTCTGTGACTGTGAGGATTTGAAGCAGAAGCTCGACAGCTTGGTCTCCGTGTGCCGCACGGACTTCAAGGCTCACGGACTTCAAGCGCCCGCGCGGAGCCGGTCCAGTCACCACGAGGGCGCTCACCGCCCAGAGGTGTCCGGTGGCTGGAGGTTTCAGATTGCGTCCAGTTGGGGCCCGCGCACCGTGTCATGGCCAAAGTTGAATTGAATGACACGTGTCATTTGTCCAATGGCCTCCGCCATCACCAGATAGTCACTGATAGTCACCGGATAGTCTTTGTGCCCCACACTACACCATGTCCCACCAAGCTTCGGCGCCGTCCCTTCTACCGAGCCGGCCTACCTCTTCGGTTGCGGTGGTTCGTTTCCTTCGCGCCGGATCAACGGTGGACGCTCGGGTCAGGCTCACCCCAGAAGCACGCGCTTCTTCTTGCGCGAGCTCTGGGATCTATGCCAGCTGCCGGAGGGCCCGAGAACGACGGGAACGGCCTCTGCCTTTCAATTTTCGGTCTCCGCAGGTCTGCCAGTGCGGGCCTTGAGTCTGCTTCCTATTTGCTCCACCGTCTCCAAGGAACCTAACTGCCTGGCTCATCACAGCTAAATATTGCATTATGGGTGAACTTATGTAGAGCAGTCGCCTTCATAAAGCCTCCCCCATCTCCAGAATGGTTATACAGTTATACGTCTTCATTTGTATAGGTCTTTTATTCTTCAACAAGTGGAGGCTCCAAACCCTCGCTGTCCGCCCGGTTTTGGCCTCCGGTTTGGGTGACCCGGTTTTGGTCACCCCTCCTCCCTCAGGCTCAAAGTGCCGGTGAGCAATCGACCGTACAGGCTGGAACCGAAGTCACGGAGTGAAGCGGTGCTGATGTGAACACGAGGAAGGGCGAGGTGCTGATGTGGATCATGCACAGGCTACAGGCTAGAGGCTAGAGGGTTCTTAAGACCAGAAAGGTGGTGCAAACCATGTGCTGGTGAGAGCGACAACCACTTCTTGCAGCAGCAAAGAAGTTGAAAGCTCAAACCAAAGCATTGACATGTGGATCAGGTTTAACCCGCAGCGGGTCACTGACCTCTGCTGGAGTTCCATGTCGACCCTGGGACTCTTGGGAGATTCACGGTATATACAACATCTTTTTCTTGAACTATGCATTTGGGGTATTTTGTCCAAGGATTCACTCACGTCCTTTTCGAGAGCCGACCCCCTTTCCCTTGGAACACCCGCCCAGGGCCGGGGCTCCTTCACTGGGATCAGGCTCCGGAAACCGACGCAGCGCCCCAGCTGCTCTTGGGCCCGGTGAGGCGAAAGCTGGCGGGCGCTTTGTCCCAATTTGCTCGGGAGCCGAAGATGTGACGCCCCCCGCGGCAGAGTCGGTTTCGATGGAAAGTAGGAGGCCGCCGTCTCCAGGGGGGGGGGGATCACGGGCAGGAGGGGGTTGAAGGGTTGCACATGAAAAAAACAGGTGAAGATGCACATTATCAAGGAGTCTTCATGTGCTTTTTGGGTATATATTACTATATTACTATTCCAATTGGGCTCCGCGCCACCCCCAAGTTCTTGATCCACCAAGCTTGAGGTGCTGCACATTCCCAACTTCCTCCCGGCGGATTTGGCGCCCTCCAGTGCCGAGCTGCCGGGGACCCTGCAGCGCCTCGCGACGGGAGCGTGAACCGGTGCTTTGGTCTGAACATGAACCGTTGAACGGCCGCCGTGCCACCGTGCCACGGTGCAGAAGTGCCATCAGGTCTGAGGACTCCTTCTTGACCATGACAGTCCGGGACCTCACTGCCAAGCCATTGGGTGATGGAGACTCGCGGCTTAGGACTTGGGGTCGCTTGGTCTACGGTGACCACACCTTCTACGCGACAGTCGTCTCAAGTCGACTCGATCCCATCTCTCCGACCCTCCGATGAAGTTGAATGAACACCCGATGAGCCAACAAGGCGCTCCGTGGTGTTTCGGCCTCGGACTCCGTCTTCCTGAGGTGATGTTGGCGCTGGGGGCCATCCCATGGGAGTTCAAGTTCAACAGGCGGCTTGGTTGACTGGACAAACCTGTAAACAACGAATGAAAGAAAAACGACAAGGACAATAATTTCCAGGAAATTTAGATGTCACATCTTTGGATATACATATATCTCCTATCCACTTTTCCTAGAAGAAGAAATAAGAAGATATATTCATGATTCATGAACCTTATGCTTGAAGACAGTTGAATGAAAGACCTGAAAACCGAACTCCCTTAAAATGATTTGGTTTTGTTGTTGTATTCTTCTCATTCCTTGTGCTATTTACCTGTGCCTTTTTGATGGTAATATTGAAAAAAACCTAGCAAACCTTTCATTGGTGGAAAACTTCTGTTGTTGTGATGAATTTGTTTTAAATGTATATACACTCCCTGGAACTAACATGGAAGTGGACAATGGCCTTTTGGAAGACCATTTTCCTCTACAAGCAGGGTGTTTTCCACTTCCATGTTAGTTCCAGGGGGAGTATATATATATATATATATACTGTATTTTTTTTTGTTGGGACCCTCGCCGGCCCACTCTTGTGAAGGACCTGTGTGGGGGGGATCGGTGTGTGATTTGGACATCGTGTCGATCGTGCAGTCACCTTCCTTTGCATTGCTTGCCATCTTTCCCACATGGGTGGGGCAATGCATGCCAGGGACACAAGAGAATCATCCATGTCCACCGAACAGTTGTCACCCTGTTCGTCCAGAGTCATATTCCACCGGCATGCTTGTAGATGTTTGTAGCATGCGGACCGGTCGACATCAGCACCTGAACCGCCTTGCCACCGCCCTGCCACCGCCCTCAGGGCTCATTACCGCCTTTGCAACTGCGCCTCCCTGGGGTCTCAACGTCTAAAGCTCAGCAAGTCTTGTCAAACAGCACCTGCCTGGCTCAAAGCTGACTCAACGTATCCATGACGATTCTGGGCATGGAAGCCACCCTTTTGGGATTGGAGCGGAATTCCGCGGATCTCGAGGGGGTCTTTTCTCCCATCTCGTGATGGGCCGCGTGATGGGCAGTGGCGTGTTCGGACTCCCTTTCTCGGCGATGTGCTTGCTGCCCTCGCGACGCTTGCTGGCCTCAGGTTGTCTGGTGCCAACGGGAGGAATCAGGTGGGGCACGGCCCGTGTGAGTGCGTCGCGAGATTTGTCAGCTTTCCTCACAGGGGTGGAACGGTTCTTTGCCATTTTTTGGGGTTCCGCTGACGAGTCGCTGGATTCTGGATGATTCTGCTGGAGAATGGATGTGGCCACCGAACGGACGACCTGCCGACCGCGCCTTGGCTTTGCCCATGGCCAGGAGCTCTGAATTCATGACCTCACGAACGCTGGTGGCCCAGCAGTTCCGAACGAGCTGGCCCGAAGTCAACTGCTTCGAGGCCACCACGATCCACGTGTAGGCCCCCACTGAGATGTGTGCTCGTTTTGCTCCATCTTGGAGGAACCTGGGAGGATGCCACCAGGTCCCTCTGCCACAGCTCCGCATGACCCCAGCCTCCTAGGCGTGGCCGCGCGGGGGAAGGCGCTGGGCCCGTGGGTTTGGTGCTGTGCTCCCCCCCAAAACCATCATGCCTGGCAGGACAGTCGGACCCACCGTTGCGGATGGGAATCACATGTTGGGAAGGAGAAATCATGGATCCAACGTGATCCAACGTTTTCTTTCTGTTCTTGTGGGTGCAAGGCGATGGTCCGGTCTGCGCCTGAGTCAGTTCTAAGCTGCCATCACTGGAAAGAGCGACAAAACCTGGGATGTGAACTTACGAATCCGATCGCGATTGCAACTCCCTAGAAGAGGAAAAACTTGCATAGATCAGTCCAAGACACACTCACACAGATTCATCACCTGAGTTTTGCCAGTGGTCCATAGCTGATTCAATCATTCAATTGTAAATCATTGCACGACTTGATATATGACTTGTATGACCCAATATAACTCATTCTGCTGATTCATCATACTTCAATCAATTCATTAATCCCTTCGACCTTGGTGCCTGGTGGCACCGCCGGCCGCCCGCTCTTCTCTTAGGCACCGGCCGCCCTGCGGGAGCTCTTTCATCGCCAGGAGAACGCGGGAGCACCTGAAAACGGTGACCGAGTTAAATGGTGTCAAATGGTGGAGTTCGTAGTGTAGACTCTTGATTAATACGTAACACCCCCTATTCTCTGAAGAGGTTTTACAATGCATGCCTGGGGGGTGTTTGTTATGCAAGAGTTTACTGTACATTTATATAAGATAATTTAAGATTCCCCCCCCCACAGACTGAAACACAGGGAGCCGGTGGGCTACTTGCATCTCATTACCTAAGATCCAGGCAACGATACGATCATACACACTTGCTCAGGCAACTCCTGTTGATTTCTTGTGGTGAAGATGGGCAAGTCATCGATCTTGAGGAAAAATAATGTACTGATTCAGAGACCGCTCTTCATTGGAAATGGCTTCAGTGACGCCATCAACCCAACAATGTCCAGATAATGCGAACTTCAAACATGTACTGTATGCAGTAAGGAATTACTTGAATAGTCTCCAGTCTTTTCGCGTTCAGCGGAACAACTGCAGCTCACCAATTCATTTCCTGGTCGCCGCTGCTTCGTTACAGCTTTGGCTCAGAAGCGAGGAACCATGAAGTCCTCGACGATGGATGAACACTTCCGGATCTGAATTCATCATGTTGGAAATGCATCGCCACAAAGATACCAATCATTTTCACAAGAGGTACCATGTCAGAATACATCACCGCGGTTGCCAGCGCTTCCATCGCCTGGGCTATTTTCCTGTCGTGCGATCCGCGCGCAAGCTTGGAGGTGCTGGCCATGCACTAGCAGCGCGCTGGTTTTGCTTCCACTTTGCATTAGTCCAAAAGCTAAAAACAGGATCAAAGAGATGATCAAAAGGCCCAAAACGACCCACCAAGAAGGGCAAACACCATGCCCTCTACACGCCCAGATCCCCTCCGCGAGGTGCCGTCAATGGTGGGGAAGCCTCAGTGTTTCGGGGTGTTTTCTCCGACGAAGCAGAAGGGCAAGGGAGGCCCTTAGTGAGGAAAGCTGCCGTTGGTTTCCGCGTGAGGGGCCATTTTGCATCTTCCATGCTGAGAGAAAGTGTCCTGCAACTATGGCAAGTGGCCGTCACCACATTCCCGAAGCATGTCTAGGCAGTCGTTGGTTTGAAATCCATCGCCGTCCCTCGTTGTTCGCTTGACCGGCCTGGGGGTCGAGACCCAGGGGGCAGACGCCATCCTGAACGTGCACAGCCTTGTCAAGGTGGGTGGGGGGATCTGTGGGATTTGGCAGGTTTACCAGACATAAAGCAATTTAAAGCTGAACCGTGTTCGCAAAGCCAACTGGCCAAACACGGCTGCACAGTCTCAAACAACACTTAATTAAGGTATATTAAGGTGCCCAATTTTTGGTTGGTCCTTTTTCTTAACTTCTTAATCGCCGCCCTCGCACGTTTCCAGCCTCGCAGGCCTCAAAGGCCTCGCCCCGGCTGTTGGAAACCTTGAACTGGCACGTGACCACCGCGGGGGGTCTCGTCTCTTGGGGGGGTTCGTGCGGGTAGCTGGGCGAGAAGGTCTTCCGGGTGTCGTGTCGTCCGTCGCGGAGAAGGTCAGTCTAAAAGAGGTGCCGAAGGGGGTTTTTGGGGATGGCTGAAGCATGGTTCCTCATGGCAATTGGCCGTTTCTCGGCCTAGGTGGGGCCATTTTAAAACAAGAGATGCCAAGAGGCTGCAGGTTGCCATCCACAAGGCCAAAGACACGCCCTGCCACCCGAGCGCAGTGCAGCTTCATGCCGAGGTTTACGATGTTCACGTGGGCACTCCCTTCAACTTTATCTATGATGTGCGGGACCCAATCGGGTTTAGATATATATATATATATGTTTAGATTGTGCTAAGCTCCGTCGCGGCCTTACAGGGTGTGCGACTGAAACAACGTTTCTTGATTTTCTTGTCGTCACACATCCTGCTTTCTCGGTATCAGCCCTTCTTCTTCCCTACCCCTTTGAGCTACCACGCTGCGCAGAAACTCCAAGCTGAGGTGTTACAATTCTCCTCAGGTCGAGACAAATTTTGCGCCTTGATGCAGGGTTACGCCAAGTTTGCGAGTGAGGTGCCCTGCCCTCTGTCTTTGTTGTCTCCGGAGTGCGGTGGTGGGGAGTCTTAACATTCATGGCTCTAGCACGAAGTGATGTAGATAAAGGTTGCCATTGGGGACGTCGATCTTCCCATTGAATGCCTCCACCAGTTCGACGAACTCCGCACAGGTCCTTGCAGCACCTGACAGTGAACGCCACTGGATGTACCGGGGAATCGAGGACCTTCGACCCGGGGAATCGAGACCCCGAACAGTCAAAGGGGCTGGGCTTGCAGCTTGTGGGGCTGGTGGTGCGGACGGACTTTCATGTTTGGCATCCTTTTTGCAGGACAGCTTGAGTGAAGGGCGCAAGATCTTCAGGCTGTTCAAAGAGTTCAGAGAAGTCTACAAGGCGCCACTAGAAGGTGTATACTACATCTCTCTCTCTCTCTATATGATATAAATATGTATGTGCTGTATATGCATGTGTACATGCTAACACATATCTGCACTGCACACATCTATCGTATGGGTGCCATTTCTGCGACGCGAGGTGCGTCGCGGCTGGAGCCGCTTCAGCTTGGGTGCCGACGAGGACGGCACTTGTTCGATCGCTGCCACCTGTGGGGTGCTCGACATGCGCGGGCCCTCGGCCGGGTCAAAAACGTGTATATGGGGCGATGGCAGGCGTTCGAGGTGAGAGAATGAGTGCAGCAGGTGTCGCATTACTTGACATTGACGACTTCCGATAGCGCACAGGTTTGGGGAAGTTGAGCCCCCCGTAGCTGAGGCTTGGTCACACCTGCTCCTTTTTCTACTACCTGGGCCCTGCCCTCAGAAGGGCAGCTTGATCCATTTGGACTGCAGGCTGACGTTTCTCAACCTCACCTCGTGTCAAAGCCAGCGATGTGCCACCCCTCGGAAGAACAAAAAAAACGCCAGCACCGAACCACCGAACTAGAAGGTCCGTGGAGGGCTGCTCACCTCTCCTTCCTCCCCGTTCCTGCCCACCTCTCGTGCTGAACCTGAGTGACCCGAGCGGAGCCCGCGGAGGTGACAACCTCCTGTGGGCCGCCTCCGTGGGGCTGGTCCGCTCCAAGGAGGTGCCGAAGATGCAGATGAGGCGCGGTGACGCGTCGCGTGTCGCGCGTCGTGGCGCGGTGACCGTGAGGTGCGGAGCGAGAGACGAGTGAGCGCGCTTGGCGCTCCCGTGGATCTGATGAAAACACAGGTGCTTCTTTTTTCTGGACTCGACTGATGCTTCAAAAATGGTCAGGTAGGGCGTTTTGAGTTGGCAGACCCCCTTTCAGAAAGTAGGGGGTTGGATCATATGGCGGGATCGTGACGCCCCAGCTGCCCTGCTTTCCCATGGTCCTTTTGGGGGTCCTGAGACCGCACGACTCAGCTCGCCAGGATGTGGAAGGGATTCCGCCCCTCGGCCAATGCTGAGTAAGTCCTTCTGTTGGGGGCGGTGTGCCGTGCCGTGATCCAAAGCGAGCCCTGTCGGGTCAATCCAACACGAAAGGCTTGGAGAGAGAGTCTTTGGGACCCTCAATGTCCAGCTTTGTGCTTTCCTTGCCATGCCGACCCGGCGCCGACGTAGACGAGGCAAGAACGGCGCGGTGTTGAATGCACTTGGCGGAGTGAGCAGCAAGGGGGGCCCAAGAGGGTTTGCATGTCTAGAATGATCTCAAGAGCAGACTATCCCAGACTGCTTTCCATTTGTTCTGGGATTAGTTTTTGGAGGACTTGAGGCGGTCACGAACTTCGCTTCCACACCTCCACCGTTTCAAACCCCTCTTGCTCGCCCGCTTTCAAGAAGTCCTCGCGCCCGTCCTTGCGTGTTCAGCCACTGCGCTCCGCTGACCCCGCGTGCCAGATGTGAAGCGCAAACGCAATTGGGCATCGATTTGGCGGCTGCACTTTGCCATTTGCCGGGGGGGCCCGGGACCTCCTCTCTCCCGTGCGCCGGCGCTGGCGAGCGAGCTGCGAGCTTTGGAGAGCGAGCGGGCCGACATCGGAGAACATGACGGGAAAGACCCCCAGCACAGCGGCAGCAGTGGGATTTCATAGTATAATCTATTTGACCAGGGTTTTCTTCAGGGTTACCCCTGTTTCAAGACCACTAGGGCTTGTGATCGGCCCCACACATGGGATCTGGTGCAATGCTTTGCTTCAACCAACCACTTCCAGATCGGACCATCGTTGAGGTGCCAACATCCTTCTCTTCTACAAAGCCATGTGCCGACTGGGATTGAAACGCCGCCTGGTAGCATGGTGGCGCCATGGCATGGCCAGAGGCGGCCCATGTGGAGACAAGTATTCTCCACTGAAGGGGTAATTGATATATACATATATATATATATACATACATACATACTGTATATATATATATACTTGGTTGGGGCTTCAAGTGCCTTTTCATTTTCTCGTATGACTCTGACTGCTTTTTAAAAGCATGGGATGGGGAATGATGAGGATTATGATTCTGAAGGACTTCTGAAACTTCAATCCATCAACTAGTTATTGATGATTTTTTTCAAACACGGGCATGTTGTGTCCATTGGAGGAAACATACTGGTCGTCTCTTCCCTCAACTGCTCAGGTTTGCAGGGGCCAGATGCGGTGACCTCAGGATGAGAGCGCCAAGAAAAAGAAGCTGTGGGTCAACTACTCCATCTTCTACCCTCCCATGTGTTGCATTCTGTCCCTCAACCGCTCTCAGGATGCACGACTCTTCCATACCTTGGAGATCATCGGCATGTTGGCCAGTTACCGGGTGCTGCTCAGTAAGCTCAACATCATGAAAGCCTCACATGCCAGGCGGCGCTCTCAGCCGTCCCTCGCACGCGCATACACGCGTGTATTCGTCGGGCGTAGAGCTTGCCGGCTCGATTTTGTATTTTTGTTTTGTTCAAAGGAGGCGTCCAAAAATACGCTCCACAGATCGCGCTCCAGTTTGGCACCAAAGCCCAGCAGTGGAAGTCGCCAGGCTGGGCCTTCTGGCCATGCTGGCGGCGGCCTGTGGCATTTGGAGCAATTGGAGGAAGGTGCGTAACGTGCGTTGCGCCCGCAGCGCGCCACGCTGCCAAACAATTGAGGGATCAGCGGATGAGCTCCTCAAAAGGGATGAGCCGTTCTTTTTGGACATTGGCATGCGTATGTACTCCGCCCCGAAGATAGATGATAAGAAACCTCCTGAAAACTACCCGCTGTACAATATACTGTAACGCCATATATTATACCGATTATACTATATATATATATATAACTACTACATATGAGAGTTTCAGAGGTTAGCCGGGATATCGTAAGATCATTGCATGGGCATAGAATTTGATTGCCCAGCTGACAAGTCTATTCTTGTTCATGTACTTTTTTTCTTCTGTTTACCGCTGTTGTCAACCAATTAAACATAATTAAACAGAGCTTTTAAAGATCATATCTGCTAGAACTGCTCCACTTCTCCTCTTGATCATCCTCCAGTGACCCTCTGGCTGTCGCCAGGTGCGCAGAAAGAACTGCGGGACCAAAAGCTTTGTGGCAAGCATCGGGAAGAAGGCCACCTTGACGTCCGGGGTAGAGAGGGTTCAGACCTAGGATGCCCCAGAGCCTCCAAATGTACTGTAATGTGTTTGGCATCCTTTGTCTCCTGCCGTTCCAGCCAGTGCCATCTAAGAAAAAAAACAATTAAAAAACAAACAATACATGCGCCAACCTAAGCCCGTAGGTAGTTAGACGCACCCCGGTTTGTACCGGGCTTTGCACGGATCAAAGGCAAGGAAAGAAAACCTTGTCACAAGATGCAAGCGCCCGAGGGCAAATGAAAACAATCCAGGCGGAACCCGGAAAAGAACCTAAGGAGTAGAAGAAATGGGATGCAAAGCATCGTTGATTTCGAAAGCAAGCTCACAAGCAGCAATCTGGCATTTGGCTCTTTGCACAGCCGAGTCGGCTGCAGAAAGCACAACCCAACCACTTTTGGACGTGACGCGAGGCTGAAGTGCCCACCAACCAGAAGGGATTTGAAATAAACCCTCAAGAAAATCTCTCTTTGCTCTGAACTTGGGGCACAATGCCCAAAAATGCCGCATGGAGGCGAGCTGCGCATTGCAGAAAGGGCAAGAAGGATCATGGCTATACCCTCCTCTTGTAGGGGTCTGGATCGCACCACCCCGATAAATATTAAGAACAATAAGGTTTTTGCGAGAAAGATTTGCTCGCCACGTTGACCATAGAGGGTGGGACGAAGCCTCAACATCTATGTTACTGAAATCTTCAGAGTCCAATCGAGAAGGCCGGATCTGCAAAAGGCTTTTGTGTCTAGCAGCAACCCGAAGGACATGAGGTGGAACACCTTCTGGCATGAGTTTGATGGATTCACCATACGCACTAACGAAACGGCTCAAATTTTGATTTTGAGGGTTAACTGAAAAGTACAGGCCCCTATTCTCCCAAGACACAAGATGCAAATCCAAGAGTTCAAGGTAAAACTTAACTGCACGGAAAACAGCATTTGGAGGTGGGTTATGAAAGCGGTGCGCAGACAACACAGCTGCACAGGCCAAGCCAAAGATTGGATGAATGTCAATTCTATCAGCCCAAAATCTGCCACTACACCACCAAGAGCACTTCGTGTGATTCAAAAGTTGGTGAAAAAGCTTACTCACAAACGAAACAGGTGGGGGTGCAATGAGAGGCACCGGCCAGGTCCATTTGCTTTTGAAGAAAACACGGACGGCATTCTCGCGGGGCATGATGCCACCAGGAATCTTTGCAAGAAAAGGAAAATTATCGGCAATGGCATCCCACCCATTGCGCAAAGTGGGCAAATCTTGCCAGGCGGGGCACACCGAAAGACCAAGGTGTTCAACGGCATCATTATTTGCCCAAATTTGTCGTTTCTTCATATTTTCAGAGAAACCAACATCATCATCAAAACGACGAGTTGAAGCGAGAGCCTCATTCAGGTCTTCCAAAGTACCGGAGCACCGCAGCGACCTGTCATCACAATATGCCCACGTTCTAACCATGGGGTGCTTGAGGTGAATGATCGCATGCCAAGGTCGAAGAATCTGGGCAAGCACAGTTGGAGACGTGGGATCCCCTTGAGGAATTGACCTAGTGGGAACAAGGGGCTTCAAACAGAATGAACCCAAAACATTCACGAATCTAGGGCTTTTCCACGCTAATTGCAGAAAATTGACGATGCATTTAGGGGTTCCACCGAAAGATAAAGCAGCCTTAGCGGCACCCCCAATTCACTGAATCAAAAGCTTTCTGCAAATCAATCTCTGCACCACATTGGCCAGGGTGAGCAAGCCAATCAGCAGTAGCATGAGCAACGCTGGTCTCCTTGCGGCCAGCCCACTGGTCTGCAGGCAATGGAGGCAATACTTTTAGAACTGCTTTATTCCAACAACGCAAAATGATGGAACTGACAGCAATAGGCCGAGATTCATCAGAAGCTCGCTTTGGGATTCCTACAAGTTTCCAACTGAACAAAAGAAAAACAGTCGGACACTGATTAGGATCGATAGAATCGGATTTAAGGACGACGCATCTTAAAATGTCGAAAAGCTTGCGAAGGAGCCAAGGACCCGACATCCTGATCCCCGCGATGGGCTCCTGCAGAATTTGGGGCCGGAGCAGGTGTTTCGATCCCATCTCCAACTCGTGGGACCGGAGGGAATTCGGAAAGTCCTTTTCGATCAGACTTTCCGCAAGAGTGAGTTTCGTCGTGAGTCTTGTGGCGTCACCGTCACCGCCATTCACTGTTGGGCTCCGGCTCGGCCCGCTCGGCCCGCTTGCAGCTGGCGGCCCTTTGGGCCCCGCGGTGGCTCCAAACCGCACTCGGGAGCCTCGTCCAATGGCGGCGTCCCCTTCGTGGCGCCTCACCCGCGCCGACAGCGATGTGGAGCATTTGCCGCAGTGGTGGACCTGGCGGAAGCTGACGAAGCCATCGCAGATCGTCCGTGGCGGCATCCAGTGCAGGCCGGGTGGAAGAGGCGGTGGACTGGAGAGGGAAGAAAAAAGTAGAGGAGTATATACCCAGTGGTTAGGGTGACCGGGAGCGCAGTCATTCCCAGATCAAATAACCAACCCAGCAGAACAAAACTTAGATCCCAATACAGAAAGCCATACATAATGGCTCTGCAATTTCTTTTCCTACTTCTTTGCACGCGGACCATTATATACACCACCTTGACTCTGGCCTTTGAAGAGGCGCGAGCACCAGAGGAAGTTCTGGATGTTCTTAGAAGCTGTCGAGGAGGATCCTCAGGGAGTCCCGGCGCTGAACATGGGATTTGGCGCTCGCCCTCCCTTGCGTGCGCATGCTCCCTTGGGGCCTCCTGAAGGGATAGAATCGGATGGAAGAGTAAATCTTAGACCCTAGGGATCGATGGTGATTGGAGACACCGTTATGTAACGTTTGGAGGGTAGTCGTACCTTCCTCAGAAGGTACGACTGGATCCCTAGGGGATATGGCAGAGCATCTCTATCTACTTCTGGGATCTTCTGGGCGACACCCCGGCGGTCTGGGGGTCGTGGTGGCGCTTTTCGGTCATGTCGTGGGGCGGTCTGCGCGCGCGCCGCAGCGGCAGTTGGGATCGATTCTAAGGGGGTTCTTGTCTTGGTGGTGTGGTCGAATTCAGTCATAGAAGAGGACCAGGACTAGACTTCCAGAAATGCGGAGGTCCAAAAACACAGCACAAACCGGTTTCCAGGCCAGTTTCCAAGACATTTTGTGTGAGAGATGCGTGTTTTGGATCACTGTGGTGTTGATTTACGGTTCGGGTGGCACATCTTTGGACACGAGAGCTTCGACAGATTCTTGGCACGGTAAGGGCCCCAGCATCCCACCCAAAAGAAAACGCGGCCCCGGGTCAGGTGCGTTGTGGTGGGAAAATCATGGAAGATCGGACTTCTTGGCAGTCCTTGGAGCTCCTTCCTTGCTCGGAAAACCGTTCGATGAGACCTCGAGCAACCTCGCTCGACCCGCCGAGTGGGTCAGGTCGAGCAGTCTTCGGGGGATCGTGTTTGGTGCTGCGGGGGATCGCTAAGGATTCGAGGATTTCCTGGGACGGCTTCGAGCCCATGAGTTGGCAGCAACTCCCCGGCTCGGGCACCTCGCACGTCGAACCGATTTGGGGGGGGAGGAGTGAAAGGAGTGAACAGGAGCGGAGTTCGAGGCGTTCAAGGAGTGAACAGGAGAAGCACCGTAGGACCTTTGAAGTGTGGCAATGTGTGGCATGCTCTGTGGACTCCACGACTTTGTTGTGCTCTTTGTTTCGTTCCCACGTACCTTCGAAGGTACCGGTTGATTTGCAGGATCTAGGTTGTGATGTATCCATGAAGAGCAGCTACACCGATACCAGTCTGACACCTGGATGTGGACCAACATGGAAGGAGCTTCGAAGAGATTGTTGGTTGAAGAGTTCATGAGTCATTCGTGGGTTGAAGAATTGATGTTCACCACCTGGTCATTGGAAGGGCACCGGTGTGTTTGTTGCAAGAAGATAGATTGCAACCTCATGGCAGATGGAGCAGGGCTTTGCGGGGAATGACGAGAGGGAGAGTTGCTGAGAATTGTTCTGGTGATTCTGGTGCGACTCATGTTGTTACACTAGGTGTCGGGAAGGTGTCAGCCTTTGAGGAACGCGGGCTCCGGTGCCGCCGGCGCCCTGGCTTCACATTGGGAACACCCCTGGAATTCCATGTGGCCGAGGGGAAGAACACATTGGGTCATCTGTGATATGGTTGGAAAGGCTTGTTAGGACTCTTTTTGTGCCGGCGCTGGATCTTGGGATGCTTCATCATCGCAGCTGCAACATGCAAAACATGCCAAAGGCAGGTGCGGTGCTAGGTGATCTGGTTGGGTCAAGACAGCAGAAAGGTGGATCCAACCAGTTTGCATTGGAAGAAACCAACATTGGGTTTTGGTTGGGGGGTCCACTAAAAAGATACCAACCCGTTTATCCCTGCGTGTTGTGTTGGCTACACAAATAGAATGTGATCCCTGGCAGGGATAGACACGCTTTCCAACCTCATATTGTAGGAAGAGCTTCCTCTTTCCAGGTTTGGACGAGGTCAAGGTATTCAGCGACAACAGGATGAACAATATCCAGTGGCATTGGCCACAAAAATGAAACCCTGACGGTATTCGCCGTGCACTCAGGTTGCACTAGCTCAGGTCGCGCCTTCCAACCCGTCTGCCGACCACCAACGTATCCCCAAAAAAACCTCATGCTTCTCAGTGCTTAGGGGAACGCATTCGGGTCGCCTGACTGAAATCAACAAGCATTTCAAGCCACGAAAGATCACCATCGTTGACCTGACCTGATTCCACACAAGAGAAATTCAACCATGCAAACAAAGCTTCGCCGTGCTGTCTACTACCCTGTGGCATGGCTGCAAGCAACGAGCCGTCGAATGAGGGGTTGAATTTATGTAAGAGGAGCAGGGCATTGCCAGGGCATTGCCAGAAAAGCAATATCCAGGGAGGCTCAGGCTGAGCACAAGCCGCCGGCTCCCGGCTTCCTTCATGAGATATTTAATACCTGGATCTTCCAACGGTGCGGAATTTCTGTGCAAACCCAGCCTAAAGGCAGAAATTCTGCACAGTTGGAAGATCTATATAGGTAGTGTAAACTGGAAGGGATGCGGTCCTTTTACCTCGAGAAAACCCTTGTGCCTATATGGCGAGCGAACTGCAGGATCAACTGAGGGGCCCATTCATTGACGTAGTAATTATTTGCTTTGCCATTTTCGTCAACTTTCCAACTTCGAACGAACATGACGTGTTGGAGATCGCACGGAGGTCACGAAGAACAGATTCATGTTTTGCACATCTCCACCTCTGCAGCTCAACTTGTAGAGTTCTGGAGTTCCGGCGTGCCTAAACCAGTGCTTGCCCGTTACAACAACCATTGTTCTATGAAGGATTTCTTGCACTAAAAGCAGGTCCACTATGTTTTTCTCTACATGGCCTTGGAAGGCATCTATCTATGGAAAGGTGACTCCATGCCATGAATCAAGTTATTGAAAGACAGACCCAGAGTTCTTTGAGATCAAGACAAGTTGCAGTCCACAGACTGTCTGGGAGAATGAAAGCCGTCGACACTCCCAACATCAGCCAAGAGATTTTCCAGGTGCAGCGTGCAGCGAAGGGCTCGGGCCGCTCGGGTGGTTTTCCAACCTTCTCCGCCCCTTTCTTTCCATCCCTCGTTGACCCTCGACTGATTCATCGCGTCGCGTTCGCGTTGGAAGCCCACACGGAGTTCGAAGAACGCCGAGCCCAGGAGCCGCGGTGCGCGAATGCCGATGCTATGCAGTGAGCTTGTGAAGCGGCGAGTCCGGTCGAAAGCCGGCGACGACCGTGATCCGGTCGGCCAACGAGCCCGGTCAGCACGGAGACATGTTTTGGGGCCATACGGCCCAGCTTCCTTTCATCTCACGAGTCCTCCCAGCTAAGGAAAGTCATTGAGGGGAAGGTATTGTAATAGACCTGTGCTAAGACATGGCTCGCAGGTTTTCGGGTCGATTCTTAGTGCTTGTTTTCCGCCCGCTGGGCTTCCACGCCGCTGCGTGGGGGCCACGAGTGGAGGTGTTCGGACCGGTCGACCCGCCACGTGACCCGGCGGGTCGTGTTCGACCGCCGAAGTCCAGGTCTTTCAACACAGCCTGCCTAGATGTTTTACCTCACAAAAGGAGAAACACCTCTAGAAATCTTAAGAATGTCTCAGGGTTTTGGGTGTGCTATCCAATGCGACCATCTCAGGAGAAAGAAGACCTTTTTTGGCATTTTTCGGTTGATCCCTTAGTTAATGGACACCCTAGCCCTAGTCATGCTATTGAGAAGGTCCCATTGGGGTGTCAAATCAAACAGCTTTCCAATGACTAGGACTAGGAGCTTGGGAATTCTCGACGTGCGACAATGACATGAGTCCGGTATCCGGTATCTGTTCTTTTCTTTGGGGGGTTGCGTTTGGATCAAGAACGGGAGCGTCCAAAGTTAATCCAGAGAGGGTCTTCAAGTGCATTGGACATCGTTTCATTAGCTTGGAAATTAGTCTTATGCCTCAATCCATTTTTGGCAGGATTTGGCAGGGTGTTTTGGCTAAAGAGACATGGTCAGATAAGGTGATTGCAAGTCCTCTTTTTTTTGGCCAGATTTGGAACCGCCGAGTTGTGCAGAGTCTCGTTGACTTGCTTGCGGCACAACAGCAGCCCTTTCAACATGCGCATGAAAGCGGAACTGGGCCGATCGACTCGACTGACTCGACTCATCTCTCGGCATGGTGTGTTTCTACTTGTATGGTAGAGCCCCCAGCCCCGCGGATAGAACCACTTTGACTTGGAGAGTCCAATTTCCCATCTATTCGGTTGACAGTGCAGTGTTTAGGGGGGCTTAGGCAGCTGCTTCCTGATCGGGTCACGTGGCTGGACAAAGCTACGCTACTGGCACCCATTGGAAAAGCGCCAGGTATGCTCATTCAATTCTGCCTTCACTTCTTTGTGGGATGAAATGAACCATAGCCGCCATGGGAGCTGTAGATGAGGATCAGTCAGAGCAGCCATCCCTGCTTGATTGTCCCGGGAAATCTGGAGAGCAAACCAATCTACCTTCGGTTCCCTTCGGTTAAGTTTTCATGCGCAAAAGGGCCCAATGCCCTCTATGTTTAGTCGCTGACTCGCCTTTGGAAAAGGTGCGGCGAAACGGACGCCCGAGCGTGGACAGCTTTGGAGAAGCACGCCTCTCGATGGTCCAACTGTGCATGGCCAGAGGCCTGTGATTTCCTTTCAGGATGGGTTGCGTCTCAGACTATTCTCCTTCAAGGACGGCATTATTGACAGGCTTAACGCATGGATACCAATGTGTACACATAGCACCGACACATCATTAGAATCATTAGACATAAGACTGATAAGATATGTGTCATTCTGTGACATTTGCTGCGGCCCCTTCAGACCAACCCATATTTCTTGGAGTTTCTGCAGCCATGCATGGTTTTCCCTGGCCATGGTCCCTTTGGGATTGTCACCGGCAAGCACAGACAATGAGTAGAGTAGATAGCACCAGCCTTTGGAGTAGATTTCATGAGAGGGACTTAGCACCAGTCCACACTCCGACTGACTAGGCCCTGAAAGACCATTTTGCTCCACGAAAAGGGAGCTTTCCACTTCCATGTGATGTTTTGTTTTTTGTCGAAGAGTAACGAGTGAATGACCCCTATGTGTCCGAGCACCCTTGTGGAAAACCATGTGTGACGTTTGACTTTTCCAGCCGCAGAAATCTGCGGAGTTTCCCAGAATCGCATGTCGAGAAATTCAGAGGGGGGACGATGAAAAACAATGGCTGACGAAAGGAAGAACCAGTGAGCATTCTGGTCGAGACTTTAGCCAAGTTTTTGTGTGTCAGAGTTGAGATGTGCAAATGTGTAGCAAAGATGGCTGTGATTTGTTTTGTAGACGTGTGACCATGTGCTCTCCAAGTACAATTTTCAGCCTGCCGCCGGGGACGACTTCATGCTCGTCGTGTTCGCCCCTGATCTAAGACGGGTCATTTTCAGAGATTTCCCATCAGGACCCGACGGGTTCTGATTGCTTTGACCATCCTCCATGAGAGTGTTCTGACGGCTCGTTAGCTACACTCAAAGAAGATGCTGAGGTTGCTGGTGATGTTGATCCGTGTGGTTCAAACAATGGATGCTCTGCACTGTGCACCCTTCCGGGTACATGTATGGGATTTTGTGACAGATCATCAGCATCTTTTTTTTTTTTTGGTCTTTTCCACCTTGAGATGGCTCATTCAGATTACCCCTCTGTTTAACCTGATCTGATAGTTGGGCATGGTTGCCTTCTGTGTGCTGACGGGGTCCTTCTGTCTTGAATGAGCCACGTTTTCTGCGCTTGGATAGCGCACAACCTTCATCGACTTGGACGCTTGCTGGGGATGGCGCGCAAGCCCAGCACTCGACATTACTATCAAGCGCAAAAACGTCCGTGCTTTGGTGGAGATTGAGGGGCGGCGCGACATGTGTGCCGCCAAAGAAACTCTTTACTGGCCCTGGTGGTAAGAAGAGGTAGCGAGTTTCTCAGTGGACGATGTTTGGGAGAGACCAAGAGGGTTTGTGCCTTCCATCCTGCCAGCCAGAAGGCATGCCCGTACGCTGAGCCCGGTTCCACGTTTTCTAATAGGTTGCAGTAGGCGCAGAGAGTGGAAGGGGTTGTGGTTCTAGCAGCTGGTTGCTGGTCCATATCTGCAAGCCTCGGGGAGATGAAGAACAGGTTCTGCACCTGCAGAACGGTGTACAGTGAGTGATACAGCAAGAACCCCTTTCGATGTCCAGGTCTTAGGCACCTGATCAAGTAGGCACAAGTAGGTGGCACCTCCAAGTCGCCCCCCCCAAAAAACCCCACCCGCGCGTGTGAGGCCATCCAGGACATACAGAATTGATTTGCACGGAGGTCCGGTGCCTTGGACCCCTCGAGCCTCCGCCCGCTGGAACACTCGGAGAGAAGGCACCGGTGCAGAGGGGTCATGTTCCAAGACTCGACCGAAGAGGAAAAGGTCCAGGAGAAGAGAGAGGGAGAGAGTAGATTGAGTTGTCCCTCTCCTCGTGGTGAAGCGATTCAGACACCCCGTTGGCATGAGTCCGATTTTGCCAAGCCGTGGCTGAGGTTTGGTGTAGATACTTGTATATATGGTGTACATACTGCGAGGCCTGAGGCCAGTCCAATTCACGCGGCGCGTTCGGCGGCACTCCCCTGAAGCGGGGAAGCGCCATGGGGTTCTTGCCCCTCGAATGGAGGGGCAGTCAGCGTTTTTAGAGAACGGAGGAGGGCCAGTCTAGGAGTGTGGTGTGCGTTTGCTTCGACGGTAGTAAGGCAGTGTGAAATTCCAGGCCAGGGTCGTGGAGTTCAAGCTGCCAAAAAACTTGTTCAAGAGTGGTCACCCCCAAGAACCCCGTGCCAAAACATGGAAACAACGGGCAACATAGAGTTTTGCGCAACTAAAGGCGGGGGCACCTGTTTAATTTTGCAGTCCTTGACTTGGCCACTCGCCTGAAACACCAGCAGGGGAAGGGGATCCGACCCGTGATCGGTGTGGTGTGTGCCAGCACGTTGCGAGGATCCAACTTGCTGGGTAGCCAATCTTCGCGCCATCATGACTTACGGGTCTTCAGGTGCCGGATCTTCCCAACAAACAGGCACTTGGCCCGCTGAATTGGAGGAAGCTAGGGATGGCTAGGGTTCAGTTCGGCCCCCTGTAACATCCATTCGAAGAAAAGCTCTTGGGGAGTTTTCTAGACAGGTTTTGCGCGGACTCCTCAAAGAAGTGTTGGCGCCACTGTCGTTGGGCCCCTTCCCGACTGCGCCAGGGTCCAACCCCCCAGCGTTTTAAGCCTGGGGCGTCGACCAAAGCACCTGGCCCTCGGTGTGCAAAAACCGGATCTGGCAGGGGGGGTGTTTGGGATGATTGGACCATTTGGCTTCTTGCTCAACTTGGCTCCTACTTGAGAGGAGGCCATTTTCATTCGGAAATCGGTCTAGCCTAGCAACTCACGTTGCCATCTTGCCATCTTGGGAGCTCATAGGGCTGGAGGTCAAGTCGGAAGAGTTGCCGTCGACTTTGAGTCTTCTGTTGGGACGCGATCATGGCGCCCGCTTTGAGGCAAGTCCACAAGGGGAAATGGAGTACTCATATCACCTACGCATGGAACTGAATCAACGCTTGTTCAGACGGCTTGCGATTCCTTTGAGAACTCGGCCCATCCGAGAACAGTGTCCATCCATGGCTTCCTCCAGGAGAAGCACTTGCCGAACCGCCTCGTCGACGTGTCTGCCGTCTGGCCCCCAAACCGTGGGAAACGACCTCGCTCAACGGGGTTTTTGGCATCAGCAGAATGAACTGCGCACCGCTAAAAGACGCTCAGCTGCCCGAGTTCCAGGGCGGCCGCGGAAGCGCCGGGGATTCCGACCCGTTTGAAGAGGTGGAGCCATCGGCTCAGCGGGATGTCGCAGGCCCTCAACAGCCCAGTGGCCCAAGCCCCGTCCAGGACCATCCGAATTGGTGGAGGTCTTGGACTTGGGGCCCCGAAGAATCCAAAGACCACTCTTCGGAAGCACCTCCAAAACGATCCGAAAAGAAGCGACCTGGACCCTATGGGATGAGTATGAATCGGAATTCTGGCACCAGGCCTAGGGCCAAAGGCAGAATATGATGATCAGACGAAGAAGGACAATTTTTTGGGTGACTTGCTTCACCACCTCACCAAGGCGCTTCGTGTGAGATTTGTGGAGTTTGTGGAACAGGTGCCGCCAGTTCTTCCTGCAGATGCTTCTTGGAGCTTCCCGGGCAGCTTCATGCATCAGTTTCTATTCCTTGTAACTGAAGCTTTGGGGATTCTTTCGTTGATGGCCAGTGCTCGACTCACCCACCTAACTATGTTCTGAACCAACGCCATTCACGTCGTCGGACGCGTCCGTAGCGTTGGCTCCGTGTCGGTGGCGCCGCTCCGCCGCCATGGCGCGGGAGCTGAAGACGGCGGCGCCGCTGCTGGACGCGGCCGAGCGCGGCGACGAGCCGCCGGAGCTGGTCCGCGGGCCCTTCACCGGGGGCGATGGGCGGCCGAGTGAGCCGGAGCGGAGGGGATGGGATGGGGCAAGGAGGATCTGGATGAAGATGGGAGAGGTGGATAAAGTGAAGGATCGGTGACTTGAGAGGTTTCAGTGAAGACTTGTGAGGCCGTACATGAGAAAAGAGGCGGACCTGTGTCGACACCAGTCTTTGAAGCAGAGCAAGGACATGAAGTGACTTGGGCAGTCTGACCGAGAAACTCGTAACATGAGGTGGTGAGATGGGTGCCTTCCGCACCCACATGGGATCTCAAACGTGGGGCATTCCATGAGAAAATTCCGAGCCCTTCACCCCCCCAAATCGCCGGATCCCTTGAGCTCGATTCTGGCGCCGCCCATTCCCTCCAGGAGAGGATCCAGATCATGATTCAGGCAGCGCCTCCTCCGCCCGAGAACCTGGCACCCACGACCCTGAGCCAATCGCTGCTGCACTCCATGGCCGACGCACCCCTGGGCGGCTCCAACGAGGGTCCACTGGCAGGCCTCAGCTCCGAGGAGGCGCAAAGGCGTTTAGCACAGTACGGCCGGAACGAGATCCCCGAACATGTGCCTCAAAGGCACCTAGAACTGTGCCGCCGGGCCGCCGGGGGGGAGCCAGGTGCCAGGGCACTTTCATGTGCTGTAGAGGGCGTTTCAGAAGCACAACCGATCTAGAATGCGTCACGAACCGAGAATTTTCTTTCCGTTCTGACGTCGCATTGCAGGGTATGGCTGGAAAAGAGATGATCCGTGCGCGAGAGTTTTCCTCATTCCAAGGTGGAACCGTGGTACGTGATGCTTGGGAAGCAATTTGTCGGCATGATGCCTGGCATGCTCATCATCGCGGCCATTCTTTCTGGGATCTCGAGAGACTGGACAGACTTCGCCGTCATCACCTTGATGCTCATCGTGAATGCCACTCGCCACGATGAGCTCAGGTGAACCAAGTTCCACCCAAATGAATCGAAGTGGGATTTCTGGATTGCTCATCCAGACATTTATCACTTGAAGAGGCCAGCTGCGGGATATGCAAGGTTCCCAAGCGGTGGTTGATTTGGAAGATGACCTTCCTGCAAGTGGTGGGGTCTGTGTTGGCACCGTCAGCAACTAGAATCTATATACTATATAGACACTAAAATATACAAAAATGAGATACTGTAATCAAATGCACAGATCAGCATTAGACCCTGGCTCTCCCAGAAGGCCACCCTGACAACGTGACTGACCCTATTCCACCAAGAGCCTATCCAAGTTTCAGCTGAATCCGCACCTTTTTCACCGCCTGCGACCGCCGTCTGTGAGGCGTTGATTGGCTTCCATGAGGAGTTCAAGGCCAGACAGTCCTTGGACGCCCTGAAGGCGCAGATGACCGCCACCGTGCCGGTGAAGAGGCGGGAGGACGATGGAAGCGCAGTGCCCCAGGTGAAGCGGTGCACTTGGGGCTAGAATGAAGCTCCTAAATGGGCTTCCTCCATGGATTTCCGACCTGTTTCCGTGGAATTGCCTTTTAAAGTGAGCCTTTCTCGAGGGATGGGAGCATGATGATCGTCCCCGTGGCCGAGCTAGTCTCGGGAGACGTGCGCCTTGGTGCTGCTGTGCCTGGGGCAACGGGATGGGATGGGACGAAAGGAGGACGATAGATACAGTAGAGGCCTCCGCTGTCACGATCCCATGGAAGCTGAGAAGAAATCACCACCGTGGTGGTTTCGACCATTTTCGGAAGTTCCCGTCGTCCGAATTGCAGGGTCACGCGGGACTCCTAAATTAGAGGGGCCAGACGGTTCGTTCGGGATCCCTACATGAACCTGATGCGCGTTTACCAGGAGGAATTTGGGGGGAAGTGAAAAATTTTTCAAAAGGAGTTCACTGCCTCAGTTCCTAAGAGTCCGAGAGGTTCGCTGAGGATCTTCCTTGATCTCATTTCAGCGCAGCATGGTCGTCTCACCCCAGTAGCTTGCTCCCCGCTCGCATTTCGTGAGGATCTTCCTTCGAGGAGGCAACATTGTTCCAGCAGATTGTGAGTTCCTCGAGGCGCAGATTGTATATAATGATAAGATCTGAATGGGGCCTTTAGAGAGCCTCAGAATGGGTCACAAGTCACAACACAGGAGATACCAGATGATCCATATGATCGGCATGCCCAAAACCTTCCACACTCCTCCCAAACTTGCGCACCTCCCAAACCCTATAAGCTACCAGCCCTCTTCGACACCCTTGCGGATTCCCTTGTCCAAACCCCTCCAACTCCTCCCCCCCCACCACGACCTCGCGCGTTCCAGCTTCGCTTCCGGAAGGGTCGACCCGACCCCGACCCCCGAACCCGACCCCGCTTCCGCCAGGGCGACGAGATGCTGGTGGACACCGCGGCGCTCACCGGCGAGCCGCTGCCGCGGAAGGTGCCGCGGCCCGACCGGCCGGATGAGCCGCAGGGCGCCGGGAAGATGCTCCTGTCGGGATGCATCGTGAAGCCGCTTGGAGAGGCTTTGGAAGGGGACTTGCGCCAGGGGGGGGGAGATGGGGAGAGGAAGGATGGGGATGATCTGGGAGTGGGGTTGCAGGGGTGGAGAGGTGAGCAGCTCATGGGACGAGTGAATTGAGTGAAGATGTTTTTGTCGAGTAATTAAGCAACCTGAGCAACCTCAGTTCAGGCTTGCAGGCTTATAGGTTAAGAGCAACTATGGGGATGACAAGTCGGTGCTTCTCACCTATGTAGAAGAGGAGTGAGCCTTGGAGAGAGGAAAGGGACGCAGGCAGCTCTTGCCAGGTTCAGCTCGAGAATCTCGGTTGGATTGATTCATGCCTTTTCCAAGTGCTAAGGCAAGGTGAAGCACATTGTGAAGTCAAGGAGACCGGCCTCAATACTGAGATTGGCCAGGAGCCGGGGCTGGCAAACATCAGGGAAGTGGTGGATATCGATAAACGAGTTCCTATGAGCTAAGCCTACAAAGAGAGGGGAGAGAGAGAGAGAGAGAGAGAAATTGAGGGGGTCCCATTGAAGGATCGAAGGGGACTAAATATGCAGCAGCAGGAGTGTTTGACACCAGTAAGTTTTGAAACTCAGCAGAGAAATTCAGGTCCAAATGCATAACCGTGATACCTCCCCTTTCCAAAAGTGTTTCATGGCCTGCAGGGCAGTCCTCCGTTTGATCAACTTCACAGGTTGAGAGTCATTCCATTAGATGAAGCTCAATGTCAATAGTAGAACCTCTTCCTCTCATTGTCCTTCTCCTCAAAGATTCACACCCTAAACCACCAGCGGCCAGACTGGCGCCGTTTCGAGGCCGCAGGGCTGGTCGCTGAAGCCTCTGGACACCAAGCCAGCATGTTCGAATCCAAGATCATGCAGGCCACCGGGGGGCCAGTCAGACGGTCGGATGGCTTACGCATAGGTTGCCCTGGGCTTTTGGGTCCGAGGCGACGCGGTCGGTGGTTCTTCCGACCTGGGAGGCTGGGGAAAGACATGCATTAGTTGCAATACACAAGGTTTTGCACATTGTTACGCCAACATGGAGTATATTATATATATGATTTTGTTTGATGATGTGCAGCTGAATTCTCATTTTCTATATACTGTACATTCGGAATTCTCGATGGACTGTGGAGGTTGAGCCGACAAACAAACACTGTAATGAAATAACCACATAAGGGGATAAGGGGATATAACTATAACCACATGACGTACTGCATCCCAAAAAAAGACCGTGAACAAGCACCATGAAGTTATTATGTATATAACTCAGTCCTTTTGCCGTATGTGGTTGCTTGCGTGCAACGCCTTTGTTGAACCTCCCTTTACATCCCGCTGATGTTTTGAGGTGGTTCATGCGGTGATCCTCCTCTCCCTGGTGGACGCGGGGGTGGTGCTCTATGTGGATGTGGGCCACAGATCCTCTCTTGAGAGGAATGTGTGGGGCAGCGTTTCTCAGGTGGTCTTTCACAGACACGTCCAAAGTGGTATAGTCCTTCCAACACTGAGGCGTGCACCCACCTCAAAGCTTTGCATTCTTTGGCAGGCTCACGCGGAGTTGTGCTACTCTTGGGTGCTCGATAGCACCTTTGACTCGGGCTGCAGTGGCTGCAGACCACTAGCTTGGTGGGTTTGAAGGGTGCTTTATCCCATTCTTTCAACCCTGAGCTTCCCTCCACCACTCTCCTAACACCCACGAGTTCTGACAGATCAGGACCTACCCCTCCCACCACATCGAGCCCTCTTCGAGAAGCACCACGTCTGACGGTCCGCCGTCGGCCAAGGAGGCGTCCGCTTTTCACATGCTTTGCTCAACGTCTTAGCTTTAGTCATTGGTGCAGTGCCCATTGCCCTGCCCTTGGTGATGCAGGCGGATGTGATCGATGACCGGCACCGATGTGCGGATCGTTGTGATGTGCCGATAGATAGCCAGTAGATGGTTGATGAACAAAAAAAACCAACCGTTTTGATTGTAAGACCTCTCCACGTGGTTCTTATATAACCATTTCTCACCAGCCTACATTAGGCCTGGAAGTGGTCACATTGCGTTTGTATATCCCACGAGTTGATCCAAGCGCGATCAAGACAGACCGCTGGGCAGCTGCTTGTGACACTGGGAAGGCCGGAAGGCTTGTGACACCCGACTTGACTAGATGCCAAGGGGTTTCGGTTCCTAGCTGCCTGGCTGTCCGAGTTCCTCGATTTCATCCTCCACAATGGCACTTAGAAGATCTTAGAAGTGAACAATGCCTCCTTGAGCAGTCATCCCGCATATCTACTCTGCGCTGGCCATCGTGCAGGTGACGATGGCCATCGGTGCGGCCAGCATGGCCAAGCGCCAGGCCATTGTCACGCACCTCACGGCGCTACAGGAGATCGATTCTTAGCTGCGTATGGCGCGCCATGCGCGCCGGCGGTGGTTTTGGCCGCGGCCGGTTGGGCCTGCTTTCCGCCCAAGTAAGGACTACAGGGGGGAAGTACTTGGAGGCCCAAGAGTTGAGGCACCACCCAGTGACAAGCATGATGAATCATGGTCAGCTCATGACTTGTCATCGTGCTGCGCTTCGCTTTTTTGTGCACAATTGAAGTTGAAGCAGCAAAAGACTAACAGCCAGTTTGGTTGTCTCTTGATCATTCTTCATCTATTATATAAACTATCTTAATCATTAATCAATCTGTATAATCTGTATTACTTCTGGCATTGAGAATTAAGTTTATGAAGCAACGCATAGTGACGTGCCCCCCCAAAGGAAAAGATTACTGTAGATAGATCCTCCAAGTGATTCTCCTCTTGACGCTTCTTTCTGTCCATTGGGGTTCGCTCCTCATCCTCTGTCGCGCCAACGAGGCCTCCATGACCGTGCTGTGCAGCGACAAGACGGGCACCCTAACGACGGCGGACATGCGGGTCTTGCCGCACCGGACCTGGACCTGCAATCGCACCACGACGCTTGGACCCAGCAATGCTTTTGGGCGCACGGATGGCCACAGGGAGGCGCAGGGGGTGTTTTTTTTTGGGGTGCCGAAACCGTCCAAAAGCCCACCCAGACAGACAGGCCTTTTCCGGGAACTTTCCGTCCGACTGGGTGGACTGTTCGGACCTTCGTGGGTGACACTTCCAGTTCTCCGGTTGCACTAAGCTGCCCCCCTTGTTGGCAGATGTTGGCAGCTTGAAAGCCCAGATCCAACGGCGGGTCGGCCTTTTTCGGTGAGGACCGGGAGGTCGGGAGAGACCGTCGAGCCTACGCCCAGGAAGGACGAGGCGCTGCTGTACGCCTGCCTGGCGTCGAATCCCGCGAACAAGGAGGACCCCATTGACAAGGCGCCCGAGCCGACTGGTCTGGTGTTGAGAACTCTTGGATGTTTCTTGGGACATGCCGCACGCGATCATCAAAGGGTGTATGCACCTATGCAAGACTACGTAGCACCAGCACCAAACGACTGGTTTTGTGGAGATTAACGCGCAAAGATGCAGGCCATCCTGGGCTCTGGCCATGAGCACTTTGGAGACGCTTGGATGCAGATGGTCAAGAGCCCTAGGGCTCCAACCATATCCTCAGAAGGTGGTTAGAGCCCCCCTGGCACCCACCTGAACCGCCTTCTCAGGAGGTAGTAGGGTTTCCCTGGCAGAGGTGGAGTTCACGTGACCGTTGCCGATGTATTTTGACGACGGACCCTGCTTGGTGACGAAACAACGTACAGTTACCTTCTTGACGGTGACGAACAATGCTTTTCGGCCACACGATGGTGAGGTAACTTAGAATGCATGCCACATGTCTTCATGGATGGATCAGGAAGAGGAGGCGGACAAGCTCATGGCGATGTACAAGAAGGGCAAGTTCGTGGGCTTCAACCCCACGGTGAAACGCACCGTTGTCGGCTTTCTTTGCTTCAAGCAGAGTTTTGACCCTTTTACAGTAAAGCCTGCCGTGACTTCCCAAAACAGCTTTCCAGGCGAGTTGAGAACAGACCCGGAACACATTGAGGTGTATTGCGAGCACGAAGAGAAGGGCAAGTTCAAGATCTCTAAGGGACTTGTCAACAAGGTCCTGATCACAGGAGACGATGGTGGAGACTGTTGGGAGTGTGTGGATGCCGACCCTTGGACCTAAGCGTAGATGGGCACCGTTACGTGGGTGGCGCGTCACTTTCCCATCAAAAGCTGTATTGCTTGGCCAGCGCAGGAAGATGGTCACTCATGATGGTTGGGCAGCTTTTGGTAACACCCCGAGTCGCTCCCGAAACTTCATGACGACCTCCTGGAGTGCATGGTGTCTAAGGACAAGTTGAAGGAGGAACTGAACGAAGTCGACATCCGCTTCTCCTCCCAGGGGTACAAAACAGTGGCTCAGCTGCGTCTTGCGTGCTGATTGGAGTAGTTTCAGAAACCCAACCTGGAAGGCAGAAGCGCGGCATGTGAGGCGACTGAAGACACTATAGACTGAAGACTGAGTAGGTAGACAACAGGGTCGGTCCGATTCGCCCTGGATCGAGACCGCTTTTTGATGCCCCACTTCGAGGATTCACCTTGAAGCCAAAGCAGGGCAAAAAAGAGTCGCTTTTCGTGTGAAGGCCTTTTCTTTTAGGAGTGTGTCAGATTGTGTTAGAGGCAATTTTTTTTTCGTGGAGAGTTTTTCTTCATTTCTTCCGTGGCTGATGCATCAAAGCATAAATTGAACACCAAACACCGAAACACCAGCAGCTTCTAAATTCTTGAATCCAGTCTCCCCCTCCGTGGCTGTTGATATTTGTTGATGCGTTCAACAGCCGCGTTCTCTGACACCATGACTGACGAGTCCTGGTCACCGGGACCCGAGGTGGGCCTGGCGGTCTCGCACAACGAGGGGCCGATGCAGTTCGCAGCGATCATCCCCATGTTGGATCCGCCACGGGGCGACACCAAGCTCACGATCCACCGCATCCGGGAAGCGGGCATCAACGTGAAGATGATCACAGGCGGGGCGCCGAGCTGATCTTGCTTCGGCAGACGGCCAGAAACGACGTCATGCCGAGGAACGCGGGGCGGGGCGGTCGGCGCCCTTGAGCGATGGGATGTTATGGGCTTTGGAAAGATGGGGTGGTGTCACTGGAAGTCAGCCAAAGCAGAGCCGGAAGGGCAGGTGCGTTCATTCCTGGTTTCAGGTGTTGAGATTTCGGAGATCGAATGTGCAGAATGCCTTTTTAGGGGTGTGGTCCTAAGTTAGGGAGAGGATGGGAGAGGAGGCCTTTTGTTTAGCTGTCCTGAGTTTTCAATCAGTTCTTAGGCAGACTTGACATGTCTCCAGCACCTTTCCTTCGACGTCGCCGCGGCGTCTTTGGACTGTCACCGGCTCACCGCGCGGTTCGCTGCGTGCCCCTCACCGGCTCACCACGGCCGGAGGTGATCACCTGAACATCGCCATCGAGACCAGTCGCCTGATCGGCGCCTCGATCCAACTGGGCCACGTTGGGGGCCTCACCATCTGCAAATTATTGATATTTATTAGTTTTACCGTGCGGTAGGCCGGTAGGTCATTTCTTGGACAGATCTTCCGCCACACTGGCTGTAAGATCCAAAAAGCTGGCGAGCTATGTGTAAACTACTGGGCTGGCTTGGCCAAACAGTATCATGCGTTTCCTTCACAAGAGTCATTCCTGTCCAACGTTGGGACAGGGGTGTTTGTTCCGATTCACCTCTAGGCTGGTTCCTGGCGGGGTTGATCACCCCCAGGCTAGGTTCATCTCCAACCAGTGGTCCATTTCTGTTCATGTTCGTCCACCCAGGTAGCCCCAGTGCCAGGACCTCGCAGTTCTCGTTGGATCCTTTGGTGCTTTCTTCTCATCTCCTCCAAGGCCTTGGCACCCACGTCCTTCCCGCCAGTGAGCTGTGGCCGGCCTCCGCCACGCGGGACGAGACCATCGTCACGGCGGACGGCTTCGCGCAGGTGCTGCCCAAGGACAAGCGCGAGGCACCAGGAGGATGTGGGGGAAGCGCGAGGTGGTAGAACGAATCCTTTGGGAGCCCATCAACAAAATAAGACAGGAGGAGGAAGATGAGGAAGCAACTTAAGACTTAAGACCAACTCATAGCACAGGGCTGTTTTTGGTACCCGCCCAGGGTCGGCCTCCCACTTTCACCTTCGCAGCCTTCGCAGCCTTCGCGGTGACCCCCCCCCCCCCCCCCACACATTTCGACCCTGGCCTCCAGACCCCGCCCTTCGCAGTGTCCGAGGTGATCTTGGTCTTGCAGAACCGCGGCCTGGTGGTGGGCATGACGGGGGACGGCGTCAACGACGCCCCGGCCCTGGCGCAGGCGCAGATCGGCATCGCCGTGGACGGTGCCACCGAGGCGGCGCGCAGCGCGGCGGCGGCTCGGTGGGTGATGGGGAGGTGAAGATGAAGGGAAGAAGTCCTGGTCCTAGTCCTTGTGTACACCACCAGTATTTTTGGAATAAGACTTCTTGAGAATTCGGATCAGTTCAGCTGGGAGAGGTGCCAGGAGATTGAAGATCTTTGAACTACCTTTGATCTGTGTGGGTGAGTCCGCCATCCTGCTCAAATATCATCAATCCGTGATGATCTCCCATGGCCCATGGCTACATGACTACACTACGACTCGCTAACATGGAAGTGGAAAAGAGCCTCCTTCCAGGGGCCCATGTTGTACATGTGATGTGTTCGTCAAGAAGTGTACATCATCCGCCTCCAAGGGGGCGTATGAACAAATCAAGGCCCATTTGACTTGGAAGTCCTCTTCATATGAGTGGTTCGACTCATCAAGAGTCGACCTTCATTCATGCCCCCTTAAATGAGGTTGGCTGGTGTTTCCCGAGGACATCATCCTCACCCAGCCGGGCCTTTCGGCCATCTTCGATGCCGTGGTGGAGTCGCGGAAGATCTTCGCGCGGCTCCGGTCGTACGTGCTGCGCCTGGGCGGTCTAGGGTCGCCCATCCGGACCGAAAAGGGGGAGGGACACGGCTCTGGTGGGCTCAGGTGCCGTACATGGCCAAGGCCCGGTCGAATCCTCATGGGTGGAATCCCGGAAAGACCGCCGCGGCCGATGGTCGGCGCGGAGAATTCGCGGAGAATTCCTTTCAACGAACTGTGGCCTTATTGTTGGTATTTGTAAGGACCCCCTTTAGGGAGGTTGTAGAGCCCAATGCGCAATGTTGACCGCAAGAACACATGTTCGCCCCAAGGTACAGGATAGGAGCGACCATCCAAATTGTGCTGGTCCTGTCAATCCTGATCTATGCCTACAATGACACCATGCCCGCGATTTACGTGATTTTGTTGGCGCTGGTGACTCCCAGCTGCAGCATTAATAAATGTGCTTCGGGATGCTTGGGGCACGTGGGGTGTGCCTTTTCTGGTTTGGACCGCGTCTGACCATGGCATGTTGGGATCATCCTCCAAGTTGTGCTGTGGGTGGGCCCAACCGAAAGCGCTGAGGAACGATGTGACGATGTTGCCCGTGGCCAGCGACAATGCCTCCCCCTCCGCGTTGCCGGAGATCCCCTCGATGCCGCAAATCTTGTTTCTTAGCCTGTGGGCCAGCGTTGTGTGGCGTGTTTAGCGCAGAGAGAGAGAGAGAGAGAGAGAGATGTGGGACCCGCTCTCCAGCACTTGAACTGAAAAAATTCTTATATATAGCCTATAGCATGACTGCAAATCACCAGTCAACATCCATCACTTCCTTCACTTTGGTCTTTGGATGTCTTCAAGTCAGGGTTGATGAACGACTGTTTTATGGAGCATCAATTTTCATTATCCAAGTTGGGTCTGACTCGGTCTGACCGTGGAGATCCTGGCCCATAGGGTGTCCTTATACCCGCCCCCTAGAAGTCCAAAGACTATTTTGCCCCCCGTGGAAACTCCTTTTTTTTGCGGGTCACCTAAAAGGACAAGATTTTAAAACAAGTCTTGGACCTCCAGGGTGTTGTGACCTTGTCCTCACCAGGTTGGCGTCCTTCCTGTATGGCTTCATCGGCACCGGTCAAACCATGGCCCTCTACCTCTCGGATGTGCTCCACTCGGATCCCTCCATGGACCCCGAGGCGGGTGAACAGCTGCAGACCCGCAGAAAACAGCTTGCAGGGCGGGCAAGACGAGACTCGGGTGGTTTTATATAGAGAGAGCTGCATTTGGCCTGCATTTCAAGAGATGCTCCAATATGTGCCCAGTCCAAACTTCAGATGGTGCACATCAAGGGAGTAATTAGTGAAGAAAGTGCGATCTGAAGACCTCCTCCACTTACAGGAGCAGACAGTGTAGATCTCCGCTTAGAAGGTGCAGATTGCAGCCACTCACCATGCTTTTGGCACCCGGGCGCATCTAATGGGTCTGCATCCCACACCTGCGGCAAAAACCGCGTGCTCCGACCTGGGCAGGAGAGGCGCCAGTATCGGATGGCGGTGACCTATTTGCAGATGTCCATCGCGGTGGAGCTCAACATCTTCTCCTGTCGCACACCGCTGTATGTGGCGAACCTGCTACGCCCAGCGCCTCGGTGACGATTCGGGGGCCGTGCGGACGAGGGTAGGAAGATGCGCCCTTCCAAGGGAATGCCTTATTGAATGTGTTGAAGAGGGTCAAAAAGCTGGGAAGGTTTTTCTTGGGGGGGTTGGATGGGCTGTGCTTGATGGCACGTGACGGAACGCCCCTGCGTCCTCATGCCCAGGTCCAGGTTGAAGCTGGGGCCTACTTTCGAGGGACGTTCCACCCACTGCCAGCCTAAACTGTACCGAATGAATTCTGCATGTGTGATGATGGGTGCAATTTTCAACGGAGCCTCAGGATCCTCTTGGCCTGAAGGAAAATCAAACTCACATTGTTTGAGTTGCTTACTTCTCCCATGCCTGCGCGATGCCTAGCCGAGCAGCAGCCGCAGCCGAATCGGCTGCCTGACGCATCGTAAACAACCGGTACCCAGGAGACCTGGCCTTCGCTCTTGCTCTTCATTTGCGTCATGGGCGGGAACCTGCTGGTCTCCCTGCTCGCAGGCTTTGGCGACACGTTCCATGTGGTGCACAAGGTCGAGCCTTGGCGTGTGGAGCTGGGCTGTTCGGAGCGAGTGGGGCGAGATGACGGTCCCGACCCTCAGAAGCACGGTCCAGAGACCGGTGATCGGGAAAGTCTCCCGAGAGAGGAGCTCCACATATCAACTTATCAACTTATCAACCTCCGTCCACCAACCACTGAGGGTTTTGGATCAAATCATTTGGATGGGTTGGGGTTGTTTCGTCGATTCCCTCCATTTCCCCCCTCCTGACACACGCGTGCACACCACATGTGTCAGCGGCCCTGCTTCTTGCTGACTGAGGAGTGGGTGGACATCGTCTGGTTTGGGGCTCAGCCGGGCTCAGCTGGGTCGGATAGTGAGGGACAGAGTCCTCCAGGGATGTTGAAACATCATCGAGACGAAAGCCATCGAAAACCGAACCTCACAAAGGGTGTAGGGCAGGGTGACTGTGGAGATGCCAACGAAAAGGGGGTGCCAAGAATCAATCACCTCTTTGGCATTCGATTTCATAGTGCCATCCACGTTGGCCCATGATGATTTCAGGGAGTGGAGCCTTATTTATGCCTTGTGGTGTTGGGATGTGTTGGGTTTGTCCTATTACCTGTGACAGTCGGTCAACAATTATATACATTATTATAACTATTTAGAGATGTCGGCCTGCAACTGAACCATCATCCACTTGTACTGGTCATGGGGTATACTGCCATACCATGTGCATCTTGCTGTTCGCAGAAACCGACTCTGCAAGGATTTGGGTCTACGACATTGGTTGCTTGCTGGTGATCGACTTCCTCAAGCGCTTCTTGCATCTGGGACGGAAAAGGCCCCAAATATATAGGCCGGTCGACCGGTGCAAAGCGGACCAGATCCATGTCCAGTTGCCATCCGTATTCCACATATCCATGGAGAAAACACACACATTTGTGCCTCAAAAAATTAATCTCTCCTCGAAGTGGTGGGTTTCTCCAATCTCGCCCACGCGTCCGATCGTGCCCGTCGCTGGCTGCGCCTCGTGGGGGGGGAGGGACCTGGCTGCGCCTCCAGGTCTGGCAGGTCCCGATTCGCGTCGGGGGGGGTGGTGGGAGTGAGTCCGGGAGTCAGGAACAAAGATAAGCAAGTAACGTTGAGAAACTGGCGGTTCAGACACTAAGGCATACTAACAACCCACTGGTTTGGTGCGAAAGTATACTGAACAGAGATGGGAGTCGAACATGGTCACGAGTTGGTTTCTCCTTCTTGGATCCGTTCTTTGTTTCGCCGGACCCCTCGCTGTTCACGAGCAGAGGCTCGCTGAATTCGTGCAGTCTGGTGAGATCGGAGGAGGGTCTTTTTCAGTTCCCCCGGCGGGGAAGCTCCGCGATCCAAGGAATGTGATTGGTGCAGTGTCTGGGTGGCAATTGTCGCTGTATCTGGGTGCATCGGTCTCTGGTTTCGTGCTTTGCCAGGTGGGCGATGATAGGGCGAGTGGAGGGGCATCCGGACCGAGACGAGTAGCAGTGAACAGTTTCATCAAAATGCTTCTAGGCTTTGGGCTCCAGCATTGATGGACTGCCGCCGATTTGTGCATGTTGGGGCTGTCGCCCTGCCAAAGTAGTGGCCAGTCGGAGAGTCGCACTGGAGAGGAGGACGGTCGTCATGTAGATCAGTTGTTAGTGGTTTAGCAACAGATCGTGTTTGTGAGGATTGGATGTCTGCTGGTGCTGTTGGCGACGTCCTTGGGTATCCCAATTTGCCGGATGAGTTCCACGGCGCTAGCCATCGCTCGACTCTGCTGCACAGCAGAGCCAGCGCAAGGACATGTTATCTTTTTGCCGGAAGGGCGTGGCGAGGGTTGGGAGCTCTTGTTGCGTCAGAAATATCTGGATAGAGGGGATGTACATATCCAAGATTGACTACACGAAATGCTGGTGCCTTCTTCTCTGGATCCAGCGGGGTCTTCGACACAACACCCTCAGCCTCCGCTCGCAGCCTTTGTGGTTCAAACAGTTTTTGGGCTGTCCTGGCGGAGGCACCGCATTCTCTTTGAATGATGCTGAATGGTTGGCAACAACGAAACTACTACAGTCATGAGTCATGAGTCATTCCAATGACTTCAGAGCGCCCTGCAGCGACGCAATTCATGTGTTTACTTTATTTTTTTGTTTCATGCCACATCCTGTGATGCACCCTGTTTCATAGGGACCCCCTGTTTCATAGGGACATCCAAAGAGCAAACGAGTAGATTGCACCGAAGTGATTGTTGGTGGTTCAGCTCCAGTCCCACCGTCGCCATCGGCAACAGTGGGGCACCTCGCCATCGGCGTTTGCTTCTGCGTCTTGTTTGGGCACGATGAAAGTCGGCCAAGGGTTGAGGCGGCAGAAGACTGTTGAGAACCTTCGGGCACTTCAATACGCTCCCCACTTTTTGTCCTTCTTACTGGTGGGTGCCGGCTGCGGATTTCTGTTGGTGAATGCACTCTACAATGCCATGGCCAACGAGCCGGAACTGGAGAAGGATGGGAAGACCTTCGGGCAGTTTTCCATCATCCAAGGAGCTGTGGGCCTGGCTTCCGGACTTCTATACCTTTTCTGGAATTTGAGATGTCCACACTGCCTCACCATGAGACAAGAGCAGGTGGGAGTCTCCATTCTCATTCTCTCAAACGTGATCGCTTTCTTGATTCTCTCAGCCTTTTGGTCAGTGGGCGCGCCGGACTATCCGGTCTTTGTGGCTGGGGCTGCTGCTGCACAAGTGATTGGCAACTTCACCATTTATTTGCTTTTCCCCATGGTGTCCACTTACTACGCCGGCTGGCTGGTGGCCCCGGTGCGTGCCGGAACGGACGTGAGCAGCCTCATCACGAGCCTCATCGGGCAAGCGCAAAATCCGGATCCGGGGTCTGGGCATCTGAACTTCTCGATGCCTGGGCCTTTGCTTCGAAGACGTTGTCGGTGTTTTCTTTTTGGTGTGAAGGATTTTAACTATATATATAGTATATATATATATAATATCTTAATTGCCCTATTGGAAGATCCAGTTGTTTCTGGTTGTTTGGGGTTTCAGGGGGGAATTGGTTGGGGTGTTGGGGTGAGGAATTCCAAGAGATGGTGGGTCTCAAGACTTTTGAGACTCCTTCAAAGATCAATGCATGAGTTTTACCATATGCCATACATGCAGTAGATAGCGGCGATATCCAATAAAGGACACCTCCATCTTGGGGATTGTCCGATAGAATCGCTATCTCCAATGTTATTGTCCAATCCACCCCGAGGATCGGCACGCTCTTCTTCATCTATGCCATCTTCTCCGTCTGCGGCTTGGGCGCCTGGGCCAGCATCATGTACTTGGGCACCGGGCTGCGCTACGAGATTGACGACGAGGGCACCGTGACGCTCTCCGAGAGCGAGGATGAGTCCGACGAGTCCAGGACCTGGGAGTCCGATGAGTCCGAATGCCGAGAATTCCACGTGGCCAACGGGCGGAACAGCGGAAGACGGTTCTACTGTTCTGCGCGGTTCGTTTTTTTTCTTTCCCTCCTCCGAGCTTGTGATGTAGGTGTCCCGAACCCCCCCAAGACCACGTAATTGATCTATAGCGAGCAGTACCAGACGAGTGGTTTGGGGGAAAGCCGGGGGAACCCACAAACAGACAGTTGATCCAGTTTTCCTTGGTTGGCCAGTTGCTCGTGGCCCCGGAGCAGTTCGGCTGACCGCCTGCAGACCGTTCTTCGACCAACGCCACCCCGCATCATCCCAAAAGAAGGACCACAGGAACCTGCCTGACCCCGCCTCATCCCCCCCAAAAAGACTCGTCAAATTCGTGCACCAAGCCTCTCTTTCACGTCCAGGTGAGGCCTCACTACGGCTGCTTGGATGGCTTGGCGTGTCCTCGACAGCTGCTGCTGCCAGTGGTCCTGGCCACCTTAAGTCAGGTGGCCCAGTGGGGCATCGCGGCCTCGCTGGGGCAGATCGGCGCCGCCATGACCGACCCGGTCGGCTGCCACGGACACCAGGCGGGCACCAGGGGTCCAGAGGGTGGCGAGTCAGGGTGGACGGAGGGGGGGTTGGAGGTACAGAAAACACACCAGACAGGTACACGGCCTGCTTGGGGGGGGGAATGGGAATGGCCGCTCTTGAAGGGGAAGTTGATGCTCTAATCCACAGATCCAAAGTTCTGGGTGGCTTTTGGAAGCATGTTCTTTGGGATGCCCATTTAGAACACAGGGGAGGCAAGTTGCACAGAACCACTTCAGTAAGAAACCTCACCCCAAAACAAGACCAGGGTTGGATCATGTTGAGCTTTTCTTCCTTTCCAATGCTTCACATACCTGTAGCCGTCAGAATGTGGCTCCAAACATGTTCGACCTTTTCCTTTGCACCTGTGCAGCGGTTTTCCGGTGGTATGCTCGTTCTTCGCCCAACATTGTCCACCATCCACGCCACGGCTGTTTCACCCTGGAAAGGGGAAACGGGTCTACCGCTACGCTTTGACCAGCTCAATGATCTCCGTTCCCATCGGCTCCATTTTGTCCACGGCATGGAACTGCCCCCGGTCGATCTTCAATGCCCTGAGCTGCGTGCAGCTGTTGGCGGCTGCGGTGGTGGGATCGGACGCTTGATCTTGGATAAGCAGGGAGAGAGGTTTTTTGTTGGATGAGACTTGTCCGTTAGAAATGCAAGTGAGATACTATATCTCTCAATCGCAATGGTGGCAACCGAAGTCCACAAAGCGTCCAAGCAACAAAGTAAAGCGCACCTTTATGGCTGCGAGTGTCGAGGTCGTAACGCGTATGGATCAAGGGCCCTTCGGACAAAGATGCGACGGAAGTCGCTCAACTGGAAAACATGACACCTCATGACAGGTGTACAGCAAAATGCATTCGCATGTTGACATAGGCCAAAGCTTTTTATGGCCATCGAAAAACATTCAAAATTCAAGCCCTTCTAAGACCTGTTCAGGTCACTTCGAAACTCCCATGCTCCGCAAGCATGGTCAGGAAGAACGGTGGCTGTCCTTGTCGGCAAGGTGGTTTCTCCATCAAAACTCAGCTTCGTCTGGACCATCTTGTCCTTGATCTCACCTTTCTCATTCAGGAACTGAAGGCGGTTGATCCTCTCCAGGGATTCAATGCGAGCCCTCTGCCTCACAATGCGCTGATTGCAATCAGCAAGGAAGCAGATGTTGTCATTCCACATCCGGTGCCATTGGCGCACCTGGTCATCCGAGAAGCCTTGAGTTCGATCTGTTTTCAAAAGCTCTCGGAATTTCCGCCAGCGCTGGGTCGTGTAGCCCTCGGTGGTCAGGATGAGGCGTGTCTGATCATCCAAGGCGCTGTTCTCATCATTCAAATCTCTCAACAATTTCCTCCAAGCGCTGGAGCTGGGTTCATCTTCAACTTCTTTGAGAAGCCTTTTCCATCGGTTGTACTCCTCATCTTCAAGCTCGCTGTCAGAGTTGCAAGTCGAACTGCCGGTGTCGATGCCCGGTCTGTAGTCGATACCTGGTCGTCTGGAAAGGGCCAGGATTTGCTCCATCACCTCTTCACGATGTTGAGGCAAGGTGCGAGTTCGGTCATTGGTCTCGACCGTTTCTTCTTTTTCATTCACTTCATTCTTCTTCCACAGAACCATTGCCTTCTCGAGGAAGAGATTGTAGATCTTGTAGGTCATGTGCTCCAGGCCAATGCATGCAAAGAAAACCAAAACACCAACAGTGAGCCAAAAGCGAGTGCCCAGGTAGGACTCAGGGATGTGCTCATCGTTCTCGGTGGGGCTTCCTTCAACAACTGGCATTTCATTGGCAATCAAACAAGTTACAGCCGACATGGCTGCCGTTCTCCAAGCATCATGCCTTTGACCTTGTCGATGGGCATGGAGGTAGAAGTGGCGCCTGGAGCAGAACTTGTTCTTTGGATTGGAGGCATCACATGTTTTCTCACAACCAGGAAGGGCGCAGAGGTTGCCATCTTTCTCCTGAAGGGTGAAGATCTGGTTTTCGAAGATGTTTTTCGATGCCTCTTCATGTTCTTTTCTTTCAGCTTCTTTCTCCTCATAGGTGACCTTCTTGGCGGCGATGAAGTCCGGCTCAAAGCTCAGCTTGTGAGTTCCTCGGTTCAAGACATAGGCCAGGTTGTCTTTTGCTGCCGGCTTTGTCAAACCATCAGCTATTTGTTGCTGTGAGTTCACCCAAAACCATCGTCCATCAAGAGCTGACATTCGATCCTTCACTATCGCAACTTCGATTGCAGTGCGGCGTTCACTCAACTTCATGCCAGGGGTGATGCTTCGAGCAGCGTCAAACAAGGATCGAGCATCAGTGGCAAGTGGAGACGTGCCAAACTTCCTGAGGGCCTCAGTTGAACCAATGTCCAAGGTGGGGTCCACAACGCAAGCCATGAAGATCTTACTCCATTCAAGCTCGTCAACAGCTGCTGCGGCGGCCTGGGCTTCAGCAGACAAGGAAGACCTGCAAATGCGCTGCAACTTCTTGGACTGCCACTGGAGTATTGTCAGCGGCATTGGTTTCTCTGAGCTCAACTCTTCATGATTGCACAGGAAGACCAGCAGACCTCCCTGTGACGTTCCGTCAGGGCGAACTGCCCATGCAGCATCTGTGTATGCACCAATGCACAACGAAGAGATGTCGCCGTGGGCGTGGAAGGTCATCTTGTAATCCTTGGTCACATTCTTTGCAAATCTCAACAGCTTGTTGGCCTCATTGATGTCCTTGATCATGGGGCTGCTGGATGCTGACTGCAAGATGCTGACACTGGCACAAAGTTGTGGTACACATTGATGAGCTGGCCAGGCAAGTGCTCCTAGCAATGCACGAAGTTGTTTGTGCTCTCTGTCAGTGCAAGCATCGTTGACCATTGTTTTCCGGGGCTTATCCAAGCAAATCGGCTTCACCTTCTGGCAGTATTGTTCGAGGGAAATCTGGATGGTTTCGTGGTTCAAACTCTGGACCACATCGGCTCCACAGAACTTCACTCCCAAACTCGAGCCAAAATCCCAACTGCCAAACTTGAATCGCCGGGAAAGTTTTTGAAGGCGGCCAGCAAAGGTGTTCTCATCATATTCAAACTCACCTGTGATGTCATTCAAAGTCGTGACACCTTCTCCAGCACCGATGAAGTCGTCCACGTGGAGGCCTAAAATGCCATCAACAATGCAATGCGTTCCATTGTATTCGAAGACGCAGAAGGGGTCATCACCATCGGCAGCTTGTCGCAAAGAAAGATACACACAGCGGTCGAGTGGGTGTGCAATCAAGTTCAACTCATGCAACAAGTACTCGTTTGCTGTGTTGTTCCATTGCCGTGGTGCACGAACATCTCCAAAAGCTGGTTTGCAGGCTTTCATGATCTGCCATGGCTTGAGGTCAATCTTTTTCTCGAGCAAGCGACGCATGTCAGCTGAAGGTCGGATGTAGATTCTCGTGGTTGCATCAATGCTATCCGCCTGCATGAAGGCTGACTTCACATCGGCTGACCAAAGCTTCCATCGCTTGTGAGTTGCCATGACATAGACAGAGTGTCGGCCAAGCATGGACAGAGTTGGAGATTCCCGCTCAAGCTCTTCGTTGAGAACATCCTTGTGCTTGAAGCCTTGGATGATGACGCGAGCATAAGCTTGTGGCCCTTCTTTTGTAGGCTTCCATCGTTGTAAAAACCTGGCTGGGATCACTTCACCATCACGGGCCTCATCTTCATTGACAGGTCGCCAAGCATCATGATCGAACCAGACCTGCAACGCTTTGCATCGAGCCTCCTCGAACAGCTGCTTTTCTGCAGGAGTGAGTTTCTTCTCGCTGAAGGCTTCAGCAACCAGGCTCTCATCGGCATTCATTTCATTGAAGCGGTTCTGAAAAGAGCGGTCATCCTCACCAACTGCAGGTAGGCCATCCAGAGTACGTGCATCGTTGTAGGACTTCAAAGCGCTCTGCCTCAAGTTCTCGAAAGAGGCTGCACGTTCATCTCTGGGGATGGGACTCCGCGATCTTGCCCTGCTTTCATTTCTCTCTTCTGCTGTTGCTGTGGTTCGTGTTTCTGCAGCGGCGGCTGTTTGTGTGTCTGCAGCTGCCGCAACGGGTGTGTGTGGTTCTGTATCTGCAGCGGCGGCTGTTTGTGCTGCAGCTGCTTGTTGCTCTGTCTTTGTCGTTTCTTCGATTGTTTGTGTGTTCTGTTGTCCGTTCATGTTGTCATCTTCTTTCGGCTCAAGCTGCTCATTCGCCATTGTTGGAGGCGAGGTAGCTGACAACAAGGGCGCCTTTGCATTCGAAAAGGTGGGTCCGGTGGCAAGATCTAAAAATCGGACAGGACCCTGCACAGGAATCAAGGCATTGCGGACTCGATCACAAACAGGTTGACTGAGAGCAGTTTCCGGCATAGCGTCCAAACGGGCCAGTCGCTCAGCAGGCACTTCTGCTCGAACATGCTCAGGGGCACAGCGAACCAAGCTGCTTCCGTGGGCCAACCAATAGACATGAGGTCGGAGAATGCCGTCCTCAGTGGTGCGAGGCTCAATTGCGCACACGAGTCCAGGTCCGCCAGTAGAATGCATAATCTCCCAGCTGAAGAGGTTCAAGCTCAGGCCGTGGGCGAGACAGAATGGAGCGCTTGAGAAGTGCATCATGATTTGCTTCGTAGAAAGCTTTGGATGCCAGATGCCTCAAGGCATGATCTTGCTGAATGGCCTCGTGCACATCAGGTCGAGTTGGTGCTGGTTCATCGATGAGTCCACCACTGGCTGGATTGTAGCCAAAGACCATTTGAGCTGGTGATGAGCCATGCACGTTCCGAAGGCGATTCCTTTGACTGCAGGCCATGCGAACGGCATCAGCAAGCTCCACATTGGGCTCACCTTGTTGCATCTTGTAGAGCTGAAGTCGGCGAACTGCATGCAAGCGCTCGACTGCACCCATCCTGTAGTGTGCCTCTTTGGGAACAATGATGAGCTTGATGCCATACTTGTCAAAGAACCTCAGATACTGCTCGCTCATGTGGGCTCCAGAGGCATCAGTTCGAAATTTGCTCGGAGGTCCAAAAGGATGGATCCATTGTTCCTCAAGCACTTTCAACTCACATTCTTCAGTCTCTCGCTCCACCACTGCATTGACCTCATACTTGGTGAAGGTGCCGAGGATGGCCAAGATCTTTTTCTTCTCATTGTTCCATTTGACATGGAAGACATCAGCTTCAAGCATCTCATTGAAGTGCGAAGACTGGGGCAATGAACCAGGCTTTGGCAACTTGCTCATGAGGTGTTTGGCACAAACATCGCAACGAAAGTCACGAGCGCACTTGATGATGGAGTCGTCCATTTGTGCATCCCTCATGGCTTTGATCAACTTATCGTTGCCAGGATGTCCCAATTGTTTGTGCAGCTTTGTCACCACCGAAAGAGCTTGTTTGCTGTGACTCTTCATGAGCTTCTTTTCTTCCTCGGTGATTCCGGAAGTCTCTGTGGTCTTCTGGGTCTTCTCATCCATATTGACATCCTCGGAGACGAAGATTTGAAGAACTTCACGTTGTCTCCAGCGACGTTCCATGGAGGCCATGATGGCCTTAGCTGCGCACTTCACGAATCCAGGTTCGTAGTTTTGCATTTGTTTCAGACT